ATATATAAAAAATAGTATTTCATAAAATACTAAGATAGGCGCCGCTTGGATCTTCTCTTATCCCATCCAGAAAGCGCCATTGCGTTGTTCGGCTCTTTAAAAAAAAAAAAGAACCTCTGGTACTCAATGTTTAGTACACCACTTACGTAAATCTCCTCCCTTGCACTTTCCGAGGACGGCATGGGGCCTCTCCGTGGTGTTGGCGAAATTAATTATCGCCCCGTTTAACGTCGCATCGCCGATGCACCCGACGAATGGGTGGTACTCCTTTATGCCGTTGAGGCCGAAGGCGACTGGGGCGCCACCTATGTAGAGGCTCCCGTAGAGGAACTGCAGAGCCGGCGGCGCGGCGTCGGTACTGTAGTTCTCTGTGTCGTCGATATCGAGCCTTAAGGCCTTCTCGTTGTGGGTGGCCGTAACGACGTGCCACTCGGTGTCGTTGAATTTCGTCCCAGCCTCGCTGGTCCTCAGCATCTCGCCTTGGCTCTTGAAAACTAAAAGACCTCCGACCAAGGACAACGAACTGACGGAATTTCTGGCCTGGTCAGTCGCGAAAAAGATCAGCCCGTTGCTGGCTCCCGTTCGGAACTTCAAATTGACTTGCAGGGAGTTAGGGATGGACACGTTCTGCCACCTGACGTATCCAGGAACACCTTCCTCGAAGGAGACCACGCTGGCGAACTGGAAATTAAAAGAAAGGGCTATATGTCACGGGAATCGAATTTGAAAGGGGGTTTCCTCTCACCTTAAGGTGATATGAAAGCGTGATGTATACGTAAGAAGGAAGAAAAGGTCTCTTAAGTCTTGCGCAACAAACGCTACCCTAACTTTTGCCCCGCTCTAGGCCCTAATTAAAGGGACAGGTGAATTTCAATCTTTCCCAGTGCCTTTGAGAGGGTAAAAAGGTAAACTTACTCTAACAGAACATCCAGGCATCACGCCGAAGGCTTGGTTATTCCCGCAGAGGTCGATAGAGGTCTCTTAAGTCTTGCACAAGAAACGCTACCCTAACTTTTGCCCCGCTCTAGGCCCTAATTAAAGGGGCAGGTGAATTTAAATGTTTCCCAATGCCTTTGAGAGGGTAAAAAGGTAAACTTACTCTAACAGGACATCCAGGCATCACGCCAAAGGCTTGTATGTTCCTGCTGAGGTCGACAGAGGTCTCCAAAATGACGACATCATCGATGCATCCATCAAACCCGACGTGGGTAACCGGCTCATACGAATGCCGGATGCTGGGGGGATATCCGCCGAAGTAGATGTGGTCGGAAGAGTGCAGGGTCTTGCTCTTGCCTCCGACTTCATCCCTGGCCACCATCGCAGCATCCAGCTTCAGAACTCCGATCTTCTCCAGCCTCAGGGCTTCCAAGCTGTGCCATTGTCCATCGTTGTACCTCTCATCCGACCTTAAGGCTATCTCTCCCTCCCCCAGGTCGTACTGATACAAGACCTGGCCTCTGTCCATCTCCAGGGAGAGGAAGTTCCCACTCCCGGACTTGCCCATCAGGAAGATCAACCCGTCCTCGCTGAAGGTCTTGAAGTTCAGCTTGATGCTGAACTTCTTCCCGTCCTGGGGTATCTGGGAGTTCTTCTTGCTGAGGATGGCGTACCCGTGTCTGTCGAACCTGTACCCGGTGCTCGGCTGGAAGTTCACCAGCTTGTCCCTCTCTATCGCCCCTTGTCGGTTGTTCTCCCCGTCGACGAAGTTCCAGAAGGAGACCGGGATGTCGCCTATCACCAGCTCCTCCATCTCACCCTCGAACGAGGACGCGGTTACTGCGCTTTGCATCTGATAGGAGGATGGGTACCCTCCTACGAAGAGCTTGGACTGTTCCTGGTCCAGGTTGAAGATCGAGTAGGACCCTGGGAGGACTTGCTCCTTCACGTAGAGGCGGTCCTTGCCTCCACCTATGTCCTCCCGGATGATCAGCTTCACGTTCTTCCCCGTCCTGGTGGTAGCGAAATTATGCGATCAGTTTCAAGCCGGGGTCAAAGCGCAACCTGGGGATGAGGTCCTCATCACGTACCTATCTATTATCACTTGTCGCCAGACGTTATCAGAGACGAATTTGTTGCTGATGATCCTCTCCGGGCCAGACCCCAAATCCACTATCAGGACAGGGTACCCACTCTCGATCAACAGCGCCATGAAATCATGCTGCAACGTGAATAAAAAATGAAAGCCACCCTATCAATACCTGCAAATCCTTATCACAGCGGCTCCTCGTCATCTAGAACATCAGCTATGTGATAAGGACCCGCCAGACATGAAGTTCCCTTAAAAAAGGCCATCCTCACCGTCTTTGTTCTCGGTAGCTTCGCGTTCTCCTCGTTACCGAGGTACAGAAGGAAGCCGTTGGTCTTGTTGGTGCTGAAGAACAAGGAGATCTTGGTGGAGGTCGCCAACAATGGCAGACCCTCCGGGTTCTTCAGCTCCAGGGTCGTGTTCCTGTAGAAGGTGAGGCCGATCTTGAACCTGTTGGCCAGCTCCCTGGCGTTAGCGATCTTGTGCTTGATCCTCTCTATCTTCTCCTGGAACTGCTTCCCGGATCCCTCGATCGATTGCTGCTTCTCCCCCAAGTCGGCCATCAGGTCGGTGATGTTGGGCACCATCTTGTTCACCGTGTCCAGCTGTTTGTTCGCCTGGGAGACGTCTCTGGTAGAGTCTGTCGTGTTCTTCGAGAGCTGCCAAGTCCTCTTCAGGTCCTTCGAGATCTCCCCTGTTATTTCGTTCATCCGGTCCATTGCTCGCTGGAGAAGCTCCCCGACCTCGTCCGCCTCCTTCACGGCGTCCTGAGCTAGTGGGGAAGACTGCGAGGGGATCGTCCCTAGGGTCCTAGACAAAAAGGATTTTTTTTCTCAATTTAAACCTGAAATCTAGCTACCCAAGTCGATGCAGTCCACGAGATAGAAAAGCGCGACCAGGGAACTTGGTAGAGTGTCGCGCCAAGTACACCCTGGTATTTCTTTTTTTTTTTTCTTCACTCAGGAAAACATGCCTTAATATTAATTGCAACAAACGGCGTACTTGTTAATACGTTGCAAGGCTTCCTTATTTTTCTGATTCTGAAACAGGATGTCTTCCGCGATCTTAGTGCCCTCTGTTAGGTCAGTTTGAAGTTTCCCCTCGGTCTTGTTCAACACTGTTAGTGCTACATCTCGCAGTTGAATGCATTCGTTCCAATACTTCAACGTCTTCTGTCCAATGCCTTCAGTCTGTAAAAAAATAAAAAACAATGCATTATACAATATATTTATAAACAAAGAACGTAACCTCCACTCGAAGGAACGCACATTGTTATTGGAAGAGCTCCTTGTGAGATTTCCGTGGGAAATAAATTGAAAAGTGAAGAAATGGAAGTACAAAGTGGAAAGTTAGGAAATAAAATTCGACCTACAAGCTCCTTTGTATTTTGAGTCGCCGCTTCGGCGTAATTGGCTGCTTGTTTAGCCATTTGTATAGCTTCAACAATGTCTCTGTACACAGAAACAGCCCTAACAGCACTTGTATTCCTTGTATCGGTCAAAAGGTCGTCGAGCTGCAGCGAATGTACAAAAAGGTCCTGAGAATGTACATTGGCTTTTGAGACGAGGTCGAAGACGTCGATCAATTGTTGGTCATTGTTGAAGATGGTCTCGTTGAGCCTCGGCAATGGATCCTCATTGTCTCCTGGAACGTTTCCCTTCATGAGACTTCTGCTTGCCATTAATTAATATTAATTTTAGGAACCCTACTTATGTCGTAGATAGTCTTAATATTGTCGAAAGCGGTGTCCAGGAATTTTGCTGCCCTCTCGTTGAGGTCTTCGCCGGCCAGAAGGTCCTCTTTAACTTCGGCGGTGTAATTCTTCACGGTGTCGAAGTTTCCGCTCTCAGTTGCCACCCTGTTCTCCTCGTTGAGGTCCTCCACCTTCTCGGCGAGTTCCTGAGCGAGCCTGGTTATGTTTCGGATGTCCTCGATCTGGAAAACAAGAGAGACCCGTCCAGAAATTCAATCGACATCGGTAAGAGTGATTTCGCAAACTCCCTACGTTACCGACGCATCGTATACATTAAGTCCAGACAATTTCCCACTTAAAAATCGACATTTCTAAAGTGTCGGGACGTTTCTTCATTGTTCACGAGTCACGTGTTGAAATTTTAGGCAGTTCTAGGCGATGCGCTTTAAAAAAAAGTGCTTTGTTCGCCTGGAGAACTTTCAGGTCACCTTAAGACTGAAGTTCCCGACGCGATCCCTCAGTTCAGACACGACGAGACTGAGGTTGTTCACGGGGAAGTTGTATCCCAGCATCTCCGAGACGAGAACATTGGCTAGGTCAGCCTCGTCGGTGGCTTTGTCCCTGAAGACGACGAAGGAGATCTCTTGGATCCTCTTCAGGACGTCTTTGGCCTCCCTAAGGGCGCTGTCGACCTTCGCCCCAGCTCCTTGCTGGATGTTCAAAGCCAGGGCCTGGACCTCGGTAATGATGGTGTTCACCAGGTCGATCTCTCGCGCTACGTCCTCCTCCAGGTCGTTCATCCCGTCCAGGGTGTTCTCCGCTCCGCTCTTCCATTTAATCCCGTCTTCCGCGGCATACTCCGCCTTCCTCTTCTGACTCGCCACTTCCTGGTTGAACCTGGAAATCTCCTGTTGAAGAGGAACGAAGTCGATGCTGCTCGGGTCCAGCAGCTTCACCTCCGGGTACATCTCGTTGACGGTATCGTTGATGAACTTCAACCTCTGGTGGGTGAAGTAGCTCTCTGCAACGGTCTGGAAGGAAACCATCCCAGTGAAAAGCGTCTCCTGGGAATAACTCAAACCATGACCTAGGCTACCACCCAGGCGATGGCCTGACCTGACCTAACTTACATCAAACTCCTCGAGAATAGGACCGAGTCTACTTTCCAACTCGTCCGTCACGTCCAGGAGGTCATCCGTGCAGGAGTCGCACTGATAGCAACCATTCCCCTCTATCAGGACGTTGCGATAAGGACAGTGGTCACACTTCTCCCCGATCACTCCAGGAAGACAGGAGCACTGCCCCGTGGTGGCGTTGCAGGACACCCCGACGGAGTACCCAGTGTTGCACCCGCAAGCTGGAACACCGTCATGATAAGCGGAAGATAACAAGAAAAGCTGGCATCAACCTGGGGATACTCACAGATGCACCCCTCAGGGCCGTAGTCCCAGAACCCGGAGATGCACCTGTCGCACCTGCGACCAGTGACCCCAGGCTTGCACCTGCACTGTCCGGAGGTACCATCGCACTGCAGACTATCAGAAGCGACGTCGCAGTCGCAAGCTTCGCACCCTTCGCAGGACTCAAACCCGAAATGGTTCTCCCTGCACCTGTCGCACTTCTCCCCCTCGACGTTCTCCCTGCAGATGCAGAGCCCTATCTGGTTGTCGCACTGCTCCATCCCGCACTTGTCGCAGCTGCAGCTGCGGCAGTCCTTCCGCTGAACGGCGTCGCCGAAGAACCCGGGAGCACAAAGGTTGCAGGCCTCCCCATAAGTGTTGTTCAGGCAGTGGAGGCACTCCCCGGTGATGGTGTCGCAGGAGTCGATCTCGTTGGTGTCGATGTTCCCGGAACATTGGCAGGGCTTGCAGAAGTCCCCGAAGGACTCAGGGTTGCCATAGAACCCCCCGGTGCAGGACTCGCAGCGAGCCCCGTAGTAACCAGGAAGACAGTCGCAGCTGATCTCGTTCCCTTCCTCGTTGACTTCGCACCCGGTCGCGAAGTTGTTGGAGGCCACTGGCAGAGGACACGCGCAGATCAGGCAGTCTGATGGGGTCCCTGTGGTGGCGTTGCCGTAGTACCCTTGCTCGCAGAACTCGCAGTGGTCCCCTGTGGTGCCGTTCTTGCAGTTGTTGCACACCCCGGTGGCGACGTCGCAGGTGTCGGCGTGTCCATTGCACTGGCACTTCACGCAGTACCCTCCATAGGGTCCTGACTGGACCCTGTAGTACCCTGGAGCGCACTCCTCGCAGGAGAGTCCTTGGTAATTAGGTGGACATTGGCATTGCTCGACGCCGCTCGCTAGGACCCCATTGTGTCGATAGGTCCCCGTAGTGACGTCCAGGGAAACCTGGGTCAACGTGGTCAGGATGCTAGGGGCCCAGTAAAGCGCCCTGACGAACAGTCCCTGGAGGTCGTTCAGCACAAGCAGCATCTGCTCCCTGGTGGCCCTTACTTTGTTGGGGGTCAGGAAATTCGCCTCGACGAGCTGGACAGAGGCATTGAACAGCGTGTACGAGGGTGGCTGTTCATCGGCGAAATAGTAGAGATAGGTGTCAGCACCCTGGAGCACGACGTCAGCTCCGAGGACGGCTTTGCCGGCGAACTCCACCCCGTAGAAGACGCTGTAATTGAAGGTTCCACCGTAAGAGGTGAGCCTCTTCCCCAGGAAGCTGTCCGGAGCCGAGAAGTACAGGATTTCGTCCGGGGACCCGGTCAACCGAAGATCGAAGGGGTTCATGCTGAAGGAAATCGCAGATGCGTTGTGTTCCAGGGGCGCTACCTCCAGGGGAACGAAGACGTTGTCCGTCTCGTCCAGGATGGCGACCTTCCAGTCGTCCATCCCGAGGAGTTGGGACCGGTAGAGATTCGCGGAGACGCAGCGAGTGGTCTTCCCGAAGCAGAAGCACTTGCTGCACCCCTCCTCGTTGCCGTCCTGCAGGTCGAAGGTGCCATCCTTGCACACGTCGCAGGCCAGGCCCTGGACGTTCGCCTTGCAGAAGCACTCCGCAGTGTACTGGTCGCAGATGTCTGCAGAGGTTCCCCTGACGTCGCAGTCGCATCTCTCGCAGTGCGGGAACTGGGAGTACCCGGGCTTGCACCTGTCGCATTGCCTGCCGACGACGTTCTCCCTGCACTTGCACATGCCGCTGAGGAGGTCGCATTGCAGGTCCCCGTCGAGGACCCCCAATGGGGAGCAGTTGCACTCCTCGCACCCGACTATCTGGTGGAAGCCGTAGGTACCGGCTTCGCACTGGTTGCACATCTCCCCGGTCACCCTGGGCGGGCAGATGCACTCCCCTCGTTCTGGCTCGCAGATGCTGGGGCAGTTGCACGGCTTGCAGTCTGGGAACCCGTAGAACCCGGTCTTACAGATCTCGCAACGCCTGCCGATGATGTTGGGCTTGCATGGGCACTGTCCTCCGAACTTGTCGCACTTGAAGCTGGTGGTCCCTTCGATGTCGCAGTTGCATGGGAGCGCTCCGTTGTCGTAGTTCGCCGTCAACGAGAATATAGAGTCCCTGCAGAAGCCCTCTTCGGTCGTGTTGATGTGGAAGTGGTTGTTGCCGCACTTCTTGATGAACTCCTGGGTCTGGTCGAACTGGATCTTCTTCAGGATCTTCTCGTCGAACTGGTCCGCCGGGACCACCAGGACGTACTCCAGCCAGATCCCGTTCCCGGTGCTCTCCTTGAAGGTGATGACGAAGTTCTCCACCAGCTGGAACCTGGTGCTGCCGTCGGCGCTGCGGACGACGCTGCGACATCCACTGTTGCTGGGACAATGGGGAATAGGGACCTTGGCCTCGTAGAACTTCCCGTTCTGGACCAGGACGTCCAGGTCGAACTCCGGGTGGTCGGGCTGGAAGTACTGCACGACAAAGACGTATTCCCCAGGTTGGGGCACTTTGGCGTGGACGTCGACGGCCGCTTCCGAGTCGTCCAGGTAGATCAGCTTGATGGTCTTGTCGTAGGCACCCTCAGGCCTGGTCCCGGTCTCCGAGAACGCGCTTCCGGTGACGAACTGGATCTTCTTGGCGTCCGCAGCGTCGGGGAAGATGCCCTTGACGCACTTCCCCTCCTTCCTGACGCACACTGACTTGGGCTTCAGGTAGTCCAGGGACCAGCGAGCCTGGGGAACAGCCACGACGGACTTTATAGCGACATTGGAACTAGGTTCCCCGGTCAAGACCAAGCTGACGTAGTTCGACGGGAAGCTCAGGACGGCTACTTTCCCGTGTTTGTCGGTCACCACCTGTCTGCAGACGCTGGTGTACCTGCAGGGGTACAGGGTGGCCTTGCCCTTCCCCACAGTGTTCGCCTCCACCATCAACGTCGACGTCTGTCGTTCATTCCCCGGGGTGACGTACGTCAGGATCAGGACGTAGGGTCCAGGCTTCGAGATCCTCAGCTCGAAGTGGATCTCCTCCTGCTTCTCGTTGACCATCGGTACCTGGCTCTCCCCCAGCTCCTCCAGAGTCTCCTGGTCGGTGAAATACTCCGTCAAGGGGATCCTGCTGTTGAACTCGCTCCTGAACCCACCTTCCCCTTGGACAGAGTCGAACTGGGTCAGGTTGGGGTACCCGAAGTGCCGACAGAGTCCCCGGTACCCGACCTCGCAGGGGATGTTGACTTCCTGGGTCAAGATCGTAGCCTCATAGTACTCTGCAGGGAGCAGGACGAAGTAGTCCAGGAAGAGGCTCTTCTCCGAGGATATCGCGATGGACCAGTGCCCTGGGTTCATCACCATCGGGGATGGGAGGTTCCCCTGGGTCCCTGCCACCGTCACGAACGACGGCTCCCTCTTCGGCTTGAACTGCACCCTGAACTTCTGCTCGGTGTCCGATGGGTTGTCCGGGGTGATGGTGATGGTCCCCAGGATGGGCTCGTTGTTGGGGTTCATGTACCGCAGCACCATCCGGTACACCGAGGACTTGTGGATGTCCACCCCGTGGATGATCTCGCTCTGCAGCGTGGAGAAGACCGCGTACCCCTTCCAGCTGTACCCTGGGAAGAGGTCCTCGGCGTGGGCGTACCTGACGGGGCTGTTGCTCCTCGTCCTCCCGTCCTCCACCTCGTACTGGAACTCGTGGAGCGTTGGGAAGTAGTGGGCCTTCAAGGGTTCCTTACAGGTCAGACCCGTCACCCTGGGCTGGCACTGGCATTGCCCGGTTTCCTTGTCGCAGACCGGGCTGACGGAGCCGCCGATGTCGCAGGCGCAGTCGGAGCACCCGAAGAGGTTGCTCTCCTGGAGGTTGTACGTCCCGTCGACGCACCTGTCGCAGGTCCTATCGGTAACCCCTGGCTTGCAGTTGCACTGCCCGGTCTTCGTGTCGCACTCCCCGATGCTGCCGATCACCCCGGGGACGTTGCACCGGCAGTCCTCGCACCCATCAGGGTTGTACGGCTGCAGGTTCCAAAAGAGCGCCTTGCACTCGTTGCAGATCCTCCCCTCGACGCGATCCTTGCACTGGCAGAGCTCCCCCGGTGGAAGTGAGCCACATCCCAGGAAGGTCTCCACCACCCCGGCAGGGTCGCAGTTGCAGCCCTCGCAGGTGGGGAAGTTGTAGTACCCCTCCTTACACCTGTCGCACCTGTCCCAGTCGAAGTTGTCCCTGCACTGGCACTTCCCCTCGGCGTCGCAGGAGACGCCGATGGAGCCGTGGCTGTCGCAGTTGCAGGCCACGCAGTCAGGGTACAGGTAATACCCAGGACTGCACTGGTCGCAGGTGCGCCCGGCGAAGTTGCTGAGGCAGGAGCACTTCCCGGTGGAGTCGCAGCTGATAGAGGAGGACCCTATGGCGCTGCAGTTGCAGGGTCTGCAGTTAGGGTACCCGTAGTAGCCGCTGATGCACTGGTCGCACCTGGTGCCTCCGTACCCATCCTTGCAGAGACAACGGCCGTCGGTCTTGTCGCAGACCCCAGCTTCGGTTCCCCGGGCGTCGCAGTTGCAGTAGGTACATTCTGGGTAATTGAAGTACCCGTTCTCGCAGATGTCGCAGGTCCTGCCCCCGTAGTTGTTCTTGCAGGTGCAGTTCCCGGAGAGGACGTCGCAGATCGCGCTGTGGGCTCCTAGAGGGTTGCAGCCACAAGGTAGACAATCCGGGAACTGGTAGTAGCCCTCGGTGCAGAGGTCGCAGTAATGCCCCGCGTAATTAGGCTTGCAGGGGCATGAACCCTCGGTAGCTTCGCAGTGGTACCCGTCGGTTCCCTTCAGGTGGCACTCGCAAGGTCTACATTTTGGGTACCCGAAGTACCCGTAGCTGCAGGAGTCGCAGTCAGGTGGAGTGAACTCGGGACGGCATTCGCACTTCCCCGTGGAGTCTGCGCAGTTCCCGGTCGAGTAGAAGAAGTCGCAGTTGCAGGCCTGACACACGTCGGTCGCGTTCAGGGGCTTGTCTTTGGGTCTGTAGAACCTGGGCTTGCACCTGTTGCAATTTATGCCCTCTGTGTTGTCTCTACAATGTTGGCAGATCCCCCCTCCTTCGTAATTGCCGTGTATGTCTAATGACAAATGATTCTCGTCCACCTCCGGGTCGTAAATGCACTCGTCGGCGTGGCCGAAACAATTGCAGGCTGCAACAAAATCCCGACAATTAAATACACCTTTGCAACTTTGTTATTTCCCATTTTTTCCAAGATTCGTCTTATATCTCGCTTGCTACATTGACTCTATATTTATTTCCCACGCGCATGAGGCGTTTGCAACATTGTTTGCATTTTTTATATTTTTGCAACTTTGCTGTTTGGCATTTTTTAAACATTTTATATTTGGCTTGCATGGACATGAGGCATTTGCAACATTATTTATATCTTCATGTTTTTGCAACTTTGTTGTTTGGCATTTTTTTAAACATTCATTTTATATTTCGCGCGCACGGATATGAGGCATTTGCAACATTGACTCTACACTTATTTTCCACGTGTATGAGACGTTTGCAACATTGTCATTTTTATTCCCCACGTATAAGAAATCCAAATGAAGACTTACGCTCGCAAATGAAGATCTTCGAGGATGTAGACTGTCGCCATTTTTTCTGCTCAAACCCTTTGCAACATGTTGCACACTGATGATCACAAGTATTGTGTTGGCATCTACATACAAGTTTGTTCGGTGTGTTAGGGTCTTGTATGTCGCAAGTGTTCGCGTGGCCATTGCACATGCAACGTCCACCGATGCTGATATCCTTTATCGAGTAAAAATACTGTAAAAAAAAAAAAGAAAAATTAATCTCACCATAATGCAATAAAGTTCCTCCATCTTGCCTCTACAGCAAGGATGAAGAAACAAGTACATGCGACTTTCTCTCGACACTTTTCTCCAAAACGGATGTATAGAATCCTGTCAAACTTGACACTGTCAAAGTAGAGTCTACAAGGAATGTCCCGACACTCAATAAATTTCATATTTTGCAAATAAATTCCCAAAATGTCTATAAACAAATTGCAAAAAATTGAAATTTAATACTCGTGAGGTCCTCCCTTGTCGCAATGAAACTCCCACCTTGCCTCTACATCAAGAACGAAGAAACTCGCGCCAAGTACACGTGACTTTCTCTCGACACTTTTCTCCAAACTGGATGTATAAAATCCTGTCAAACTTGACCCTGTCAAAATAAACTCTCCAAGGAACGTCCCGACACTGAATAAATTCCATATTTATAAAAAAAATTCCCAAAAAGTCTATAAAAAAATCGCAAAGAATGTAACGCTCGTCAGGGCCTTCCTTGTCGCCTCTACATTAACATTGTAGAGTCCTGCACGCCAAGTTAGAATAAAAGCTTGCCAAAAATCTCATAAAATCCCGAAATTGACTTCGACATCGCCTTAATTGCACTAATTAGAGCAATTGTACATACTCGTCTCGTTACGGTGGGATCTTGCCGAGCGACTGACATCAAATGGCCGAGTAGATTTTTCGTTCGCAAAAATCTAAACCTAACATTCGTTGCTCTTGTCCATTCTTGAAGTAAAGTGGAATTGAAGTAATGTTTAGCCGAGGGTCTATTGTTTAAAATTGATATCGGGATTTCCCCCCCCTCTAGGGGGACGATTTTAGAATATTCCGTCGTGCAGATCACGCTGTCATCTCGTGTGATAGGTGTGTGGCTGTCAACTCCGAAATATGTCAAACAGTCGCTGTCAGAATCGGAGAAGTACTGCCAAGGGGACCAAGTCTTCCCATAGTCTTTTGACTTTTCCAAAATCCAGAGTCCTGGTCGGGGAGAATTTCCCATCCTCACGTAAACGTACGCCACGTGGAACTCCTGCGGGAATGGAAAAAAAATATATTGTTAATATTAATTAAATATTAATTGTTAGAGGGTAGGGAAGAAAAATCGCGGGAAGAGGTGGTAGGGAAAATTCAGACTTTAAACTATTTGAGGGCTTGTGGTAATTGTCCTAATTGGAAGGCTCGGACGATGGCTTGGTGGAAATGTATTTGCCTTGGAACGCAGCCTGGAAATTGTTTCTTTAACTTTTAAATTACCAGAGAATAATTATGAAAAATTCAGACTTTAAACTATTTGAGGACTTGTGGTAATTGTCCTAATTGGAAGCTCGGACAATGGCTTAGCAGAAATGTATTTGCCTTGGAACGCAGCCTGGAAATTGTTTCTTTAACTTTTAAATCCCCGGAGCAAAGGTATGAAAAATTTAAACTAAAGTATTTGAGGGCTTGTGGTAATTGTCCTAATTGGAAGACAAGGACAATGGCTTGGCAGAAATGTATTTGCCTTGGAACTCAGCCTGGAAAATCTGGAAATCGTTTCTTTAACTTTCAAATCCCCAGAGCAAAATTATTAAATAAAATTGTTATGTAAAGACACTTGGCGTTGATCGCTCGAATTGTATTTGTCTCGAAACTGAACTGGAAATAATATAAACGTGAAACAACCATCCCAATAAGAAAATCCAGGAAATGGTTATTGAAAAGGCCTTAAGGGAGTTGTATGTAATATAAAAGCTGTTTCTTTTTTCCATTCCTTCAAGAGATCAGCAACCTCAAAAGCTGCTGGACCTTTTCTTTTCCCCACGAAGAAGAGAAACGGATTCCTCCTCCATTCCAGGCTGAGTTCCAGATGTCCGCCACTTTGTGCATTTATCCTCAAAGGCCGGAAAGAACACATGTTTCGTGAACACATGTTCAGAACAGTTCGGGACCAGCCAGAAATTATTTGTCCTTCCGGGAACCTATCCTTGGCTCCTAACTTTTGTTAAAAGACAATGCAGTCTCTTTGGGAGGTCGAAATCGAAGATGAAGTTCTCGCCGAAAAATGCATTTGGCTCGAAACTCTATCTTGTGGAAATTCGAGATTAAACACTATTGTTATTTAATATTTTATTCCCTGCCTCCTAAATTTTTCTTAAGATTTAATGCAGTCTCTTAAAAAAATGTATTTGTCTCGAAACTCAATCGAGATTTTTTATCTCTTGTAAAAATTCAAGATTAAACTCTTCATGAATTATCTTTGCCAAAAGACAATATTTATCTTATTTAATATTTTATTCCCTGCTTCCTAAATTTTTCTTGACATTCAATGCAGTCTCTTAAAAAAATGTATTTGTCTCGAAACTCAATCGAGATTTTTTATCTCTTGTAAAAATTCAAGATTAAACTCTTCATGAATTATCTTTGCCAAAAGACAATATTTATCTTATTTAATATTTTATTCCCTGCTTCCTAAATTTTTCTTGACATTCAATGCAGTCTCTTAAAAAAATGTATTTGTCTCGAAACTCAATCGAGATTTTTTATCTCTTGTAAAAATTCAAGATTAAACCCTTTGTCAATTATCTCTGTCAAAAGAAATATTTTTATTTAATATTTCATTCCCAGGACAAACTACCGCTTGAATTAATTGTTAATAAAATAAAGTATTGTCTCCTTAGCGTTAATTTTATTATGACTAATTTGCATAATACTTTGGAGTTAATTAAGAAAAGGAGAGAGAATCTGATAAGCTGTAAATAAGGTCCTTCCGTTGCGTTAAGAATTATCAATGACACCATTCATATATCTCCGTAAATATTAATAATTCATACGAACAGATATGACAATTCATGAAATTGATAAGAACGAATTGAACCAGAAAAAATGATCCGCGGGACGAAAAAATTGAAATTTCACATTCCAAAAGTCGGGGAGCAATTTACTGGAAATTATTCAGGGGTAACTGACATCTCTCATCACGTCTCATATCTTCCGGAAGTACCGAGATGATAACCCGTTTCCCACTTAACAGGAAAACGCCTACTGGGTGATAAGAGTGCCCAGAGACAGATCGAAAAACGAGGATCTCCGATTTACAGAATTTTCTTTACACACTCCCGACTGGCCGAGGGCTTTCTTAATTTTTCCTCGGAATCTTGGTACAGTTCCCTATGTTTTCCATTTTTTTCCCAATTTAATTCATGTACTTACTTGGCCTAAATTAATTGTCAAGTTGACCTCGTTGTACTTCATGCCGCGCGAAAGTGGCGGCGATTGCCACCAGGTTTCCATTCCGTCGACGGCATGTTCCGGAGGGTGTCTCTTTTCGGGATTCTCCGGGTCGCAGTAGTCGCACACCTGGAACATTATCAATTTTTTAAACCTACATGTCTATTTTGAAAATTGTTTATCATGGCTAGGATGTAAATTTGGGATAAATGTTTTATACACCCCGAAGAAAGACAAGGGGTGTATCGTTTCGGGATTGTCTATAATCGTATACTCGAAACATTATCAATTTTTGAAACGTACATATCTATTTTGAAAATTGTTTATCATGGCTAGGATGTAAATTTGGGATAAATGGTTTATATACCCCGAAGAAAGACAAGGGGTGTATCGTTTCGGGATTGTCTATAATCGTATACTCGAAACATTATCAATTTTTGAAACGTACATGTCTATTTTGAAAATTGTTTATCATGGCTAGGATGTAAATTTGGGATAAATGGTTTATATACCCCGAAGAAAGACAAGGGGTGTATCGTTTCGGGATTGTCTATAATCGTATACTCGAAACATTATCAATTTTTGAAANAGAGATCAATTTTTAAAACCTACATGTCTATTTTGAACATGTTTTATCACGAGGAAGATGCATATTCGACAATAGAAAATACTTTAATATGCATTGCGATCAAATGCGTCGAAAGAAACATCAAATTAAATAAAGAAAATTAATTTAACCTCGAGACATGATCAATTTTTAAAAACCTACATGTCTATTTTGAACATGTTTTATCCCGAGGAAGATGAATATTTTATAATAAAAAGTACTTTAATAATCATAGCGATCGAATGCATCCAAAGAAACATCAAATTGAGTAAAGATTCGTCTACTAAGAGTGCCGGACGTTTGGTCCAATATCGCCAGCCCGGTCATAGGAATTTCGCCCATACGTCGAAATGATAAAATCGTCAATACAATTTTTTTTCTCTTATCAAACCAATTGTCCCTTGCAATTACACATGATTCAGGCAACAATGTACCTTCATTTCAGTGTACTAATTTTGTTCTCAGGGTGTGAAACAAAATATATTTCACGAAGGACGTAAAAACGCAGATGAGGAGTCTGCGGGGATATTTCCGTCTGCGATATCTCTTATCAGTGACATTTCACAATTCTGTAGGCCTATTCGGATTTTGGTCGAGAATAAATATCGGGTCGAAATTTCTAAGAAGATCGAGGCCGGCAAAGAAACGCCTCCGGATCTATCGGGGGATTTCTCTTATCAAAGGGTCACCACCCTTATCATCTGGTTATCACTTCTTCTCTCGAGAGAGAGTCCGAGCCTAAACACGATCTCTTTCATATACAAAAGGCCGTAGTGTTGATTTAATGAATGAAACTTAAACCGATACTAAGTGCATTAAATAATAAGTACCTCGAAATCGAGATTTAACTGAGGTTTCCCTCCTACACTGCGAATAAAAAAATGCATTTAACCGAAGAAATATATTATTTAACTTTTTGGGTACTAAGAGCGTATAAAGGCGTCCGACGTTTGGTCGAATATCCCCTGCACGGTCATAGGAATTTCGCCCGTATGTCGAAATGGCTCCGTGTACAAAGGGTTACTCGATGACTTGTACGCGATATGAAAAATAATAAGTACCTCGAAATCGAGATTTAACTGAGGTTTCCCTCCTACACTGCGAATAAAAAAATGCATTTAACCGAAGAAATATATTATTTAACTTTTTGGGTACTAAGAGCGTATAAAGGCGTCCGACGTTTGGTCGAATATCCCCTGCACGGTCATAGGAATTTCGCCCGTATGTCGAAATGGCTCCGTGCTTAAAGGGTTAAGTCGAAGGATGAAAAATACAAGCCGGGTTAGAGATTATCCGACGAATGGCACTCGAGGAGAAGACAAAGAGGGAAAGAAAGAGAGAATTAGCTGTAATCTATGGGTAATCCGTCCCCTAAAAGGGGACTTTTCGAAGAAGGAAGCTGGGCCCTTCGAGAGGGTACGGCCCTGCTGGAACCAGTCTAGGAGGGCCCATAGGGCCCAAAGAATGCAATTCACAAGGGCAATACTCTTTTTTTTCCCTTAAAAAAGAAGAAAGGCCCGCGACATCGGCCGAACCTGTAAAAGGTATAATCATGGACGTATAATAGACGTATCATGAACGTATATCCCTTACGGGTCTGCCTATGAAATAAAAAAAAAAAAATATATAAAGGGCCCTTTTCATTTTTTATATGTGAAAGGGTTGTGCGGTGCAAATGTCAGGATAATGGCAATTAATGGCATAATTATTGGGAAAAATAATCGCAATTATGGGCAAAATTATTGATAGTAATGATAGGCAATGGAAATTTATTGGGATATGTTTGAAAGTGATGATAAAATAATAATTAATAATGACGATCAATGTAAATTCATTTGGTTTGTTTGAAAGTGATGATAAAATAATAATTAATAATGACGATCAATGAAAATTCATTGAAATAAATTTCAATGTCATGACAAAATAATTGATAGCAATAACAATCAATGAAAATTCATTGAAATAAATTTCAAAGTGATGGCAAAATAATTGCTAATAATGACGATTAATGGTAATTCATTTGGTTTGTTTGAAAGTGATGATAAAATAATAATTAATAATGACGATCAATGAAAATTCATTGAAATAAATTTCAAAGCCATGACAAAATAATTGATAGGAATAACAATCAATGAAAATTCATTGAAATAAATTTCAAAGTGATGGCAAAATAATTGCTAATAATGACGATTAATGGTAATTCATTGGGAATAGTTGCTTTTAATATGCAGCTTGCATTTTCGTTTCCTTCTCCACATGCTTACAGGGAAGAAAGCCATGGTGTTTAAAATTGGAATCTACCCACTGGCTTACCCTATGGTGAGTTTATTTTTAAAGCCTAAAAGGAGAACACTGTACCATAAAGCTTTCGAGTACTTCCTACGTACCACACCCTGAGCTTAAAATGCGATTTCTCGTAATTTTCATTGAAAAATTCTTCGACAATTCAACACGACATACATTGAGGTGATATGAAAGGGTTTGGTCGAATATTGCCTGCACGGTCAGGGGAATTTCGCCCATATGTCGAGATGGCTCCGTGTACAAATGGTTAAGGTGATATGAAATGGCTTATAGCCTTATACATAGTATATGTACGGTATAGTATATATATTTGAAACCCTAACACCTGATTACGGAGATCCCAATGGAAGGTCTTGAAATTCCCGAATTATTATTTTTCGACCAAAAAGAAAATGTTTATTCCTTAGAGAAATGAAATTTCGCCAGTACCGAGACTTGCATGAGGACCTCTATAATCAAGTGTCAAATTTGCAAATAATTCGATGCATCCATTTTGAAGAAAATATGAACATTTTCAAGTTTCATATATAGAACGACCCTTTGAAATCGCCTTAAAGTGCCGCAAAGTCGAATTAAAGCAAACCTACGGTTAAAAGGTAAAACGCGGATTAGTAGGGAAAGTTAAACGGCGTTTAACTATGTAAACGGAAGTTAACTCACCTGCCCTTGAATAAGGTTAATGTGTTCATCCTGGTCGGCGTTCGCGCCTACGAGTTTGCAGTAAAGTTCGGGTCCAGGGGTGTCGACACCACAGGTAGCAGATGCAATAATCTCCCTCCCTTCCGCCAAATTGAAATACGGGGGTGTGAGGATTTCAGGGGTAACCTGGGGGAGGGAAAACAGGAGGACCGCCAGGAACCCCCAAAGAAGGAAGGGGCGCGCGGCCATCTTGGCTTCGCCTCCCGGTTAAGTCCCGGCCCTAATGTATAAAGTCGAACCTGGCTTCCGTTCTTCTCTCTTCCTTAGGCCCCATAAAGCACTGGAGGCTCCCCGCCGAAACTGACCAGGCCTGATCGGCCTCTCGGTACAGACTGAGGCCTGGAACTTCTCGGCGTCCTCTGAAGAGGGCGCTGGTGGGGATGCGGCAGGCAAGCGGCCGCTATCCAGCGGTGCTCTCTTTCTGAGATTTAGGGACGCTGTATAAGATTAATGCTAGTGGTTGGTGGTAGGAAATGTTCTGTACTTTAACTACTTTAACTATTTTAACTGTATGAGAAGTCTGAGTAATTAATTAAGGCCTTTTTTTATAGAAATTAGTGGGGACACAACAAGACGCGATGCCGCTATTCTGCGGTATTCTTTTTCTTTCTGAGATTTAGGGACGGTGTATAAGATTAATGCTAGTGGTTGGTGGTAGGAAATGTCCTGTACTTTAACTACTTTAACTATTTTAACTATGTAAGAGGTCTAAGTAATTAATTAAGGCTTCTTTTATAGAAATTAGTGGGGACACAGCAAGACGCGATGCTATCCAGCGGTGTCCTCTTTCATTCTAGGCTTTAAAAATACTATTTAAAACTAATACTAGTGTTTACCAGTAGGTAAACTTTTGTATTTTAACTATTTAAACTGTATAAAAAATTCAAGCAAGCCACATCGCCTTAAGGCGATGTGATAGTAGCGCCAAAGCGGTCTTTTCTCGAAGCAGAACGCGGCAGCGATATCCGACGCTGTTTTTTTTCGCCTCGAGATTTGAGGACACTATTTAACATTAATATTGTTTAAATGACATTTTTCATAAAGCTAAATTCGTTGTGGCTTTCTGGAATGACCCTAGTCCATTGTCGCTAGGAGGCGGACATTTCGAAAACGCTGCAGTTCGCTTCATCAGGGCACACCCTGAGGAAATGTGTATCTTTTATTGCTTTTGATCGTCTGTTGCATAGTTTTTGATCATAGATCCCCTTCGCTCTCATAATATACATATTTAACATGATCTATACATCTACCGATAAGTCTAAGACTAGATTCAAGATACATTATACGTAGACTGCAATAACATTTCGATATCAAGAAAATAAAGCTTCTCTGTATACATAGTAGATATAGTATTTTAACTATATCTGATTTTTAAATATAAGATTAATCTTAATCTTGTTTAACGGGTCTTTGGTAGTACATGGCAGTGAACATTATACTGGCACTCAATGTTACGGAGATTACGAAGTTCCCTAACAACAATGCATCTGCGGAGTCCATCCATATTGTGTACACTCTCGCTGTAAAGGAAAATATAAAATTATGTTCGATGGAAATAACGTATTGTATAAATATATGTATAATCATAGTTTTGAAATAAATGCCACAAAATTGAACAATTGTACAGTTGTACATTTTTAGATTAACTTACTTAGGTTCGTGAAAGCAGAGATAAGCCAAGTGAGGACGGACACCGAGTCTGCGTTCTTTGCTCGGAGGATTGTGAGTAGCTGCATCACTTTGCTGGATGCGGATATCGGTGTACACATTGGCTGAGAAAATTAATTAAACTTATAAATAAATATATAAGGGTATTGATAATATTTATACTTACCGCTAGAAATGTTAGAGTGACTTTTGGAATAACTCGAAGCAAGAAACATGCGAAGAGCACAAAGTAGGCAACCGCAGCGAGTATCATCTTGCCGTTGACTCGGTTTAAGTACTTCAGCACTAGAAATATTAATACATATTCTTGGACTAATATAACCGGATACTCCAGATAGGAGAGTAAAGCGTAATTGTTTGTATAGTTGTAACTCGTCATGACGGTGTAACTAAAATAAAGAGAATGGATTTGGTTAGATATTATAATAACTTCATGAGTATGAAACAGGACTAAAATGATCCAAATTTTGACGTTACGAAGACGTACCTTGTCAATTCTAAGAGAAGTCCATAAAGAGATATCCCAACGGCGCTTTTCAATTTAAGTAAGTTCAAGATCTGAGGGATTTTTAGGACGAAACATAACGTTACCGTTACCACGCTCAGAAAATCAGCGAGGAGTTGAAGGAACATTTTTATAAAGCTTATCGTAAGACCTACAAGACCTAATAATTACTGCGTCGAGCCGATAAATCTTTTTATGACTGGAAATATCGAACCCTAAAGCTTCGATGAGTATTATCGTTAAGATATCGTTCCATCGTAGTATTACGTCACACAGGTACCATTTTGATTTATCTGCAAACGAAAGAAATATTAATTTACTCCTCTCGATACATTTATATACTAATAAGAACATATGTTTATTATATAACTGCATTTTAATACTGTACCGTTAACAAATTTCACTTAATCGTCTCTGCGGAACTTGTACTCGGAATTTCATAGCCACTTGTCGATTCGGCACAGAAGTCTCGGAAGAGACAATTGAGCATTTATTTTAAGAGCACTCGGCTAGTGCTTCGGTAACTTTTAATATCCTACCCTGGCAGGTAAATGGAATGTATATCAACATGATTATACAACTCACGTGCCTGTAAGAATTACATTACACATAAAACAAGAAAAACATCGTGAGAGAAGTCAAACCTGACTACTTGGTTATTTTAAAAGCCGAATATCTTTTTGAATATTTACACATGGCCAATCTTCCATTGAGTCGAGTGTCACACTAACTGCATTTTTCGTGGAGCGCCGCATCGAAAAGTTAGGTTATCGCGTTGGGTGTCATACAAAGCGCTTCAATATGGCGGAAATTACGAAAAAGTCAAGCCGAGTTCTGATTGGTTAATCCTAAACGCGTATATGCCATGCACAGGGGGTCTATTACGTAAAGCGAACTGAGTGAAAATGTGAAAGATGAGGAGCAGACGGTATTACGGAACGTCTCTCGTGGTGAAAATGCGAGACCATTCGTATGTATGACCTGGCTCGACACGAATTTCTAAGCGAAACACGTAATTCGGGGAATAAACCCACGTGAGATGAAAGTGCGAGAAGTGAGCGCTTTCGTCAAAAATACGTAATAAAGGCCAAGATTCCGGTCCGGGTATGTAATATGGATTTCACTAAAGAATTTTGTCGATCGATGCGCCATCTTGCGGCGCTTTGAGCAACTACTCGGTTGTTGTCGACAAGAAACAAGAGGATCAGGACCAATTGTATCGTTTCCTCGAAAAGGTTCTGCTAGCTGTTAATCAAAGTCGATGAATTCGAAAATCCAGTGATGTCAGGCGGGGAGATTTACGCGATGGACGCGGGAGACGCCGTTAATTCCGAGGAATTAAAGGAGACTCTTAAGACATACAAAAAGCTGGCCGACGATTTTGCGAACCACGACACAATACTGAAAGTAAGTGTACTATTTTTCCTCCTCTCTCAAATCATATTTATCATCTCTTTGCTTTCAGGACAAAACGGTTCTCTCGTACATTGCATACGTTTTGGAAGTCCCCGATGCCGAAGTAGTATCGCTGGCGATAGACATACTCGAGACGTTTGTAAAGAACGTTGAGAATTACATTCACGTGACCTCCACCTTTGGAGTCCGAGAGGCTTTAGATTCAGTTATCGATAAGTACTCGTTAGAGGACCCTAAATTAGCTAAACATGCCCAGCGGGTTAGAGACGACATCGAACGCATGAAACCTCCGATATACAATCTACGCAGCCGTTGCAGGAGAGTTATCGAGCCGAAGAAGCTAAAGACTCACGTTATAGTCCTGCATGTTCACGGTCTACTTCCCGTAAGTCAGACTCTTCGCACGTTAGGGCGACGAGTTGTTTTATTTTTATAATCGAGGTTGACTAGGGTTTCTGTTAGCAGTTACGCAACGTTCGATTTCTGTTTTATCAGGAAACCAGGGCGGAGTTGGAAGACACTTTAATCAGGGTAGAAGGATTAGTTTCCCTCGTCGTCGACGTGGAACACCAGAGAGTCACTATGAGAACGTTGATCAACGTCACAGCAAAGCAAATAGCGGATGCCATTGAGAAACACACCACTAATATGGAAGCTAGATTAGTGACGAAGAACAAATTCAATCAAGAATTTTTAGTTAAACTGGTAATTGCTCGAGTCGCGTAAAAGCTATAAAGTAGAACGACTCCTTAATGTGTTTCGATGTTAACGATTGCTGCTATTTTTTTAGACACACACCGACAATGGTGAGTGCGAGGAAATGCCAGAATATTTGCCAGAGGACGACGAGCCGGAAGAGGAGAAAGAAGGAGTCGTGTCTCTTTTCACCGGCCTGAGGCAAAGCGCGTCTACGCTTTACAAATCCACCACAGAGTTTCTACATAATTCGTTCTACTGGTGAATCGGTTTTCACTTGTAGAACGGCTGTATATTAATTTATTATTTTGTATCGACGAACTACGCATTTGAAACCGTCCTAACGGTTCTCTGATTTCTCATCGCATACCAGTGGTAAGTACAGCGACTTTCGGAGAGAGTAGTTAATTTTAAATCCTTCCGTGAGACCGTAAAGCAGTTCCAAGGTAAATGTTAATTGGTTAATTATTTTCTGATCTATCAGAAACCATTTGACTTATTTCTCCTCGCTTCTAACAATTGTACAAAGATAGAGACCAGCACTGTTTCATGAATGGTGATATTTTTAATTTCAATCATGGTTTGACCAGAGAAACATAACCTAATGGAGAATTGAACAATTAGGGTATTTCTTAGCAACGGATATTTAAAATTGTATATAGGTTATGTGATTCAACCGATACGTCTTGCTTATGATCAGGAGAGAATAACAAGAATAATCTGTGGTGTGTAAATTCTTTGGTGTTCGTCGAGTCTCTCTACGTTGATTTTTATAGAGAAAGGGATAATAACCTAAAAGTATAACCGAAACGAACCATGATCTCTAAAGATCTGCCTTTAAAGAGTTACATAGACTTAACGATGTCTACGATCTACAAATAATTCCCCCCTGTGTTTAAATTATATATTCCGGTTACCTTTTCTGCGAAGAGTAGCTTTTTGTAATAAATCTATGAAATTTTCCAAATCTCTGGAGCCCCTTCGTCTCGTCTTACAAGTCGACTCGATACTTTCCACAATTTAGCCACATCGTTGCATTTCCCCCTCGGAGTGAAATCGTGTAAATACTATTCGCATCGATTGGAATCCCTTTCACTAGTCCAATCGAAGGAAACTAAAACTCAAAATGAAGTAGAATAACTTTTCCAACGCATCGTTACACCATCGAGGAATTCCTAGACTCATTAAAACTAAGATTGCATTAAAGTGACGACGGAGTAGAATTTAGTCGATAAGGATTTTCTCAGCAGATTTCGAATCTTTCTCCTCCCATTTCTATCGTAATTTAATTTACCAGACATGTCGAAAATCCCCATCGTACTCATAAATTTATGGGGCTGCGCAAAGAAGTCCTCCCATATATTCCCTACGTTAAGTTTTTACCCAACGACAAAAGACACCGAGACCTCAACTTGTATTATATAACATTGTAAAATACGCGGAGAAATATATACGTAGAGATGTTCTATGTAGAGAGCGCAGTGATTATTGCAATTTTATTCGCAATTAGTACTGCCAGAATAATTATTAATTATAATCCATTGATTAAAGATGGATTAATTAGACCGATCGACAGAGGGTCTGAAAGTTGTAACAAATTGGAATATATTTTTAATCCTCAGGGAAAAGAACAGCGATCTGATTATCTCTCTAGCTACCGATCAACTAATTAATTAATTATTAACTTTTAATTAACAAATGGGCTTCGGTAAAGAAAAGATGTATATGTATATTGTATCGTTCTCTAATTCTATAATTAAGAAATTACAGAGAACCAGTCAGTTTATTTATTTATCTTTAGCTGCCATTTGAGAGGAACGACTTCTTCTTTTTTTTCTTATTTTTTTTTTCTGTAACTAGAGGCATTAATTACGCCGGATACATTACGTACGATTACAACTATACAGTAAACACGGGTCTCCTAAATTAATTTATTATCCTTCCGGCGGGCCGGAATTGTTAACAACATTCGCCCTATACCTAGTACTCTCCCTTGGCTTCGTATTGTCTATATTTACACTTGTAGAATAATTGTTAATTGTCGTTAAGGCAATTTCAGTTTCCAAGCAGGTACAATAGATTAATACTAATCTATTCTTCTCCGGATCTAATTAATTTTCAGTAATTTTCAGTAATTTTCCCTCCGTCATTCACTTCTAATTGGCATTGACAACAAATTTTCCCGTCCATTTGTATAATTGTTAGCAACTATAGTGCTAGGTCGCTTTAACGAATTAATTATTAATTTTCAGTAATTTTCCCTCCGTCATTCACTAATCATAATCATTAATTTTCAGTAATTTTCCCTCCGTCATTCACTTCTAATTGGCATTGACAACAAATTTTCCCGTCCATTTGTATAATTGTTAGCAACTATAGTGCTAGGTCGCTTTATCGAATTAATTTGTACAGAGGATTTATCTTTCTCTCCTCCGAAGGGAGGGGGATAAGATTGGAAATAAAGCCCGATACAATACAATACATCGTATAACGAATTACATTGCACGATTAGGTATAGTCAATTGTATGAAAAAAGTTTGTATACAAACTCTTTGTCGTCGCTATCATTGTTACGAGTCTATCATCCGCGCAAATTGTTTTTTTTCCCCCCAACTATTTTCGCTTTTTGTACATTGTTTGCTTGTATAGTTAGTTAACTGTTCACTGACGTTGGTTTTCTTGTATATCGTTTTCTTGTACATTCAACTATTCAGTTGATTGTTGCTAGTAAATTATGCGCGCTCTGAGAATCTAGGAAAATTGTTTTTTTTTCTGTACAACTATTTTCGTTTTCTTGTACATTGTTTGCTTGCACAGTCAACTATTCAACGCCTGAGGTTAGTTTTCTTGTACATTCAACTATTTAATTAATTTTGTTGCTAGTAATTTATATGAGCTCTGAAAATCTCTGCAATTTGTTTTTCCCCGCCCAACTATTTTCCATTTTCTTGTACATTGTTTGCTTGTACATTAAACTACTCAGTGCCTGACTTCAGTATAAATATCTGTAAATAACATACACGATTATGCGCGCTTAATTCCTAATTAAGTTGCCTTATTCAACCTGACTTATCGAATATTAATTATATAAATAAACATTTCCGACAAATTGAGTAAACATTGCACGGCCAACTATACCCCTCGCGGCATACAATTTTGCATTAACATTGCCCGATGTATTCATTTCGAATTACAAATTAAAAATTTAACAAATACCGACGATACAAAAATGTTAATTAAAAAAAAAAATAAATAAACAATACAGAATAAAAATATTCAGATACAATTTATGCACGTTATCAACTATACTTGTATTCACTCAACGCGATCCGTTCGAAAATTTTACAAAAATTATAACAAATTATCATTCTTGACATTGCGCCGCGCAATGTTAATTAATAATTAAAAAAATCATACACCGCGGGGGAATCCCGGAAATGCAAAATTGTGGAGACGATTCTAGCTTATCTAGCTGTACAATTTAATTATTAACTAAATCCCTGGGGAGCGCGATGTAACAAAAAAAAAAAATAAACAAACAAAAAACATAGGAAATAAAAATCGATTACTTACTCCTAGTGGAATGAGCTAAATCACTTTTCTACAGATAAACTATTATAGTACGACACTGAGAATTAAATAAGGATGAGAAGTTCTTATCAGNATATCCCTATCATTTTGCATCGCGGTTTTGCCAAATCCCGTAAACAATTAAACGCGAAAAAAAATGCCAACAATGCGCCTAGTAAGAGATGGGAATTTTTTAGAGGTATTATTAAAATATTCTTGAAAAATATGTAATTTCACGAGTGTCGGGACCTTCCTTATGCCCTTGACATTGACATTGTCAAGTTTGAAGCGATTCGGTACCTTAAATTCGGAAAAAAGTGTTATAAACGAGAACTCTTCTCGCGTGACCTTGAAAAGTGAGGTTAGGGAGTTCCAATGCGGATCCGCCCTGCGAGGGACCATATCACAAAACCGAGATGCGACGGACATTTATACAGAGAATGGCGAGAGATGTCTAATTAATGAGAGCCTATGTACAGAGTAATTACCGCGAGTGTAATCGAATCGACGACCTTCCTCTACTTTCATACACTTTAGAATATCAATCTCTTCCTCGTTAAAAAAATCACTCCCATCTCCCTTTCGTCAAAATCTCTCTTAAGGTGGAGTGAAAGACCTCTCGGAACTCTATCGACGTCGGTAAAGGAGATTTTTATAAATGCCTACGTTGCCGACGTTCCTTGGAACTTCTCGGGCTAGTTCCAGTTAATACAAAGTAATCCCCCCGTACTTACGCTTAAAGCTACGCAGTATCCTGGTAATTAATTGCTAATTACAATTATAAGGGACTTTCTACAATTACAATTTCCTTCCGTAAACTCCTCTCTCTCTCTTCTTCTCTCTTCCTAACCAAAGCGATTTTTCTTTCTTATTTTTTATCCCGCTCCTGAATAATGTCTCTTCACTCCTGAACAATCCCTTTCACTGGTGAACAATTTGTTACGCTAATGAAAATATAATTTCCACCTCATCGGAGAAAGAGAGAGAGAGCACTTACAGGGCCCCCGATGCATCGATAAATAAGAACTAGGTTAGAAAAGAAATGGAGAGACGGAAAATCTGAGGAAAACGTGTAAAATGCTGTGGGACGGGTTCTGTAAGCGCATTGCTTTTTTGTTTACCAAATTGTACGTTGTTTAGAGGCCTGGGAAATAAATGTAGACCGTGCCTCAAACTCTACTCTCTATCTTCGAAGGATTCCCTGGTCGAGCTGCGATGGTGATGTTGCTCATCTCATCGGTCTCCGATTGACTCGACATGTCAGAAGCTTCCTCCTCCCTGGCTTTCCTCTGCGAAGCATTTCATTGTTACTAACAAATTACACACTCCGTTGTACTAATAAGTCATTTGAATACAGGCTACGCAGGGACTTAAGGTGGCACGAAAGGGTCATTATATCTTCATCGTTCCATCTTCGAAGAGTCATTTTATAGGATCTCCACCTTATTCGAGTGATGGATGTTCCGAAGGACTCTCTGCATGTCTGGGTTGCTCTCCAGGGTGGAGGATTGGCTCGATGGTGGATGGGAATACTCCGATGTGTTCTCCTCATCGGAGGCCAAAACTCCTTCGACTCTTGACGAAGGGTGTTTAAATCTTCTCAACCTGCAGCCTGGCCCGATGGGTCTTCTAGCGATACTGAAATATCAGCATAAATGAGGTATAAATATAAATAACATTTTAAGATTTATCTTGAATTTATTGGAAATACACTCACCTTCTACGCCTTAGGGAGTAATTGTACGTGTAACTAGGATCCTCTCCTTCCTCATCGGACCAGCTCTCCTCGTATGCATCGTCCTCGTGGTCGCACATGGCATCAACGGAGTCCGAGGAAGACCTAACTTTAATTTCTTGCTCCTCGTGTCTGACATTAGTCCCGCTGATGATAATCCCGCAGAAATGTCCAGGTAGCTTCAAGAGATCATCCTTGACCCTGCTGAGAAAATCTCGTGTTAAGGTTTCAAATTATTCCTGGCACTCATTTGGAGAAGTTTCATACGGTGACGTTCAGCAAATAAATCAAAAGACGGACGTAGATGCTCGATAGTACGTTAAGCAACGGGTGGCGGCGCTGTAATCATCTCTTCATCTTATGGCGATATACAGCGAATTTCTTTACACGAAAAGCTTCATACTTTCGCGTTTTTGTTCGTTAGTTCCAACTTTTACCGCATCAAGCGCTAACATAGGACCTAGGCTTCTACGGGACTTCTGAATTCTTCGCGTTTAGATACGCATAGAGCCTTTCGTACCACCTTAAGGGTTGTTTAATATATTGTTGAATATTAACAGAACGAGGAATTACCCGTGGGATATAATGACGTCATCGCAGTTCCCATTGTCCATGGGGGAGATGAGGCGGTTCGCGTTGAGGATCTCGCTGACTTTTCTCCCTAGAGTCTCGAGGTTGTCGTCGTCGCTGCATTCCCGAAGTCTCTCGTTCCCGTTCGCGTGGTTCTCGTTAGGGGGCTCAGGACTTGAACAGGAGCTAGACCGAAGCCTATAATGAGTCTCGTTCTGGATTTGGTTCCCATTAAGGCATTCCGTAGCAGGATCGGCCAAAGCCGGCACCTCGGAATTGTACTTGTCCAAGTACTCCGCACATTCGCGATTGTTCGCATTGACCGGCGTCGTGGATTTCTGATCAACCTCGCTTACGTTCTCCATTTCTGTTTGCGTCTGATTGTCCACGTAGCGAGCAGACACCTCGGTGCTCTGAAAAGAAACAATTCCTTTAATTACAATCCTCATGCCACGAGGTACAAGGGGAAATAAAGCCGGTTCCGCTGAGAGAGAGCCCAGAAGATGCAACGATGTTAGCGCCACTCGCGGAGGACCAGGGAACTTCCAGCCTATATGCCTTATCTGGGAATTTCTTTCTATACTAATGTTCTTTAAAGTATTTTAAATTGTAGACCTATATTAGAGATTGTTAGCTTACTTTATATTGTAGATGGTTATCCAGAGATGCTTCTTTTAATTTTGTGGGAATTTAAACTAACCTTTCTCTCTCGGTGAGGACTCGATCTAGGAGTGGAACTGATTCCGCAGCCAGATCCAACCCTTCGGTGTCTGTATTTACGTTGCTTGAAGCTATTGCTAGGAGCCAGGACGGTTTCTGGCTGATTGGACTCGTTCAATTGCGTGTACAAGGTTGCTTTAACTGGACTCTGCGGAGAGTCTGTAGGTGAGGGTGGAGTGGTCGGTGTCGAAGAAGTCGACAACTGCACCGTAGGATTTCTTCTGCGGTGAAGTCTTTCCTGGGCCTTAAGTAGAGGATGCACAAGTCGTTTTTTACACTGTTTATAGCCCGATTGTTGTTCCCTCCTGGAGCAAATAATTAAGATTCCTGATTACGCAGTCAATACCTCTCAACGATAAGCCATGCCCATCGATTGAAAAGATCAAACATGGGCAATTGTTACTTAAACCCATTAGAAAATCTCTCATCTTACTCCAAATGTGAATCAATTAACAATTGAATGTACAGAAAATAGTTACGAAGGGTGTGCATTAATATCTAACACTGTCGTCACTAACTTTATCACATCTCTCTCTCGTTGCTCCAACTGCAGCAGCACGGCACTCAATTCTAAGTACAAATTATTCGTCCTTTCTAATTTCCTTTCGTAATGCTCTCTGATGTCCTGTGCATGTCTGAGCTCATCTTCCCTTCGTCGAATTAAATCTGCTTCGAACCGAGGACTGCTGCAGCTGTTCGTCTGGATCTGCTTCATGTGCACTCTGATCTCGTCCTTCCAGGTTTGCTGAAACCCAAAGGGGAGATTTCACTGATTGGTATTATTTTTTTTCTATCTCAAATCTAAAATTTAAAAAAAATCTCTTCGATGAATCGGAGAAGATCATGACCACCGTTCACTGTTTTACCTGAGTTTTAAAGTACTCGTCTGGTTTCGTGCAAAGCACCTCCACGGCAGCAATGCCTAGATGGATCTCAATGTGCTTGAACGATGGTCTATTCCTTGGCTTCGCAGCCCAACATTGTTTGACAAGTAACCTATACCCTTCCGGACAACTGGCAGGTATCGGAAGATGAAGAGAGTTGTTGCCGACACCCCAAATAATTGCTGATGAGTCCACGTCCTTGTACGGAATCTCTCCACTCAGCAACTCCCATAACACAACTCCGTAAGACCTTAAGAGGATATTAAAGAGTCAGCCTACGTATTACTTCGAACCGAGCTGTTGAAAATTTATATATACTCTAACGATCAGGTTCATGCTTCGAGGCTCACCAAATATCCACCTTCTCCGAGCAGGGCTCGTTCCTGATGATCTCCGGAGCCATCCAGGCTACGGTACCAGCAAAACTCATCTTCGTACTGATTTCATTCCACTCTCGACTTGTACCGAAATCACTGATCTTGACAACTTCCCCTCGTCCGATGAGTACACTATAAAGAAACCGATGACATCTCTTAAAGGAGGCACTTTTCTTGAAAAATGAAACTTCACAAGTTCACGTTCTGCCCTTTCGTATCACTTTAAGTCACTGTATTAATTTCCACCTACTTCGGACTCTTCAGATCCCTGTGAATTATTTTGTGGGCATGAAGGTACGTCATGCCTGCTGCGATTTGTTTAGACCAGGAGACTAGTCGAGGAGGAGGAACGGGTTCACCAGCTCTCAGCAGATCGTAAAGCGGTCCATATGGACAGAACTCCATAATTATGCAGTAACACGGTGCCTGCGTGCAAACACCCCTGAAAAGATAACCCAAAAATTAATTATACTTACCTAACCTATCTCCTTATACTACGTTGTGAATAATATAGTGTTAAAAAATAGACAAGCGCATTGAAAAATGTTCAGGATCATCGAGAGAGTTTTAAGAGTCTAGGGATTTAGAACGTAAGAAGAACGTTGTGGATAAATGAGGTCTTTTTGAACTCGGCTCACTTGAACTGTACGATGTTGGGATGGTTGAGCTTCCGTAAGTGTTTAATGTCGGTCTCTCTAGGCTCGCGCACCTTCTTCACAGCTACGACCTCCTTGTTGAGTTTGCCACTGAAAACTGCACCCTGGGCTCCGGAGCCTAACCACTGCAGTTCGCTGATCGACTCGAATGGAATCTCCCAGTCGTCAGCTAAAAAACCATTAAAACAATTAAAACAATTAGACCGATGTGAAAGTGGCGTCAAAGAAATCTCTCATATGAAGCTTATATCCTAAATGAGTGTATCGAATCGTTTCAATACTTAACAAAATAAATATGGAGGTAATAAGGAAGGTTTCGATACCCATAAACATTCAATTGTTCTTAAATTTCTTAATTAACACGTTCACAGTGTAAACTTTGAAACCTTTCGGAACATCCAGTTAGGGAAGTTAGGGAAGTTTTATAGTCGCTTCGAAATTAAATCACTGGCATTACTTTTCGAACAAACCCTGTATATATATATTGCATACGATGAAACGTAAAGTGAAACGCCTTTAGAAAAGAAACGCGTACTCTGGTGGCCTTTGATCTTCTCGTTGATGGCGGCCTTGGAGAGCATGGTCCAGACGGGCCTCATGCACCCCAGGATGCCCTCCACCCAGCTGGATCTCTGGTCCAGGGTGATGGTCCCGGGGACACACTTCGGGACGCCCTCACTAGAGTGCGTCTTCTCCTCCGAGTGCGAGCTTATAGGGACACTAGTGTCTAGGGGATTACTGATCGTAGGTCCTCCCGCGATCCCCCCGAGCTGGCCCAACTCCTCCTGGATGCACAGCATGCTGAAAAGCAATGAAGATTGAGGTTATGGTCTCAAATTTCTCTAAAGAAACTCCCCAGACGAAGAAAAGAAAAAAAAAACTAGAATGAGTACATAGATTAACCCTTTCGTATCACCTTAAGGGGATGTGAAAGTGGCGTCAAAGAATTCTCGATTATGAAACTTCTCGCCAAACCGTTTCTAATTTTACAACATGAATAAGGAAGGTCCTGAAACTCATGAAATTTCAATTTGTTCATATTTTTTCAATTTATTATAAATAATGAAATCTCGTTTATGAAACTTATCTCCAAACCGAGTGTACCAAATCTATTCTAATTTTACAATATGAACAAGGAATGTCCTGAAACTCATGAAATTTCAATTTGTTCATNTTTACGTCTGTATGTGCGCTAAATGATAGACAGTTTAAAATTACAAATTAAATATGCGCGCTAAACCATAGGCAGTTTAAAATGGATAATTAATTGTTTATTAACAATTTTTACGTCTCTATATGCGCGCTAAACGACACAGTTTAAAATTACAATTTTCTTAACAATTTGCGCGCTAAACGACACACAGTTTAAAATGGCTAATTAATTGTTTCTTAATAACTTTTACGTCTTTACATGTGCAGCTAAACGACACACAGTTAAAAATTGCTAAATAATTATTTCTTAACAATTTTCCCTCAATTTGTTTAACGTAATAGCCCCCCTAAACGTTCGAACATAATAACTTTAAGGTAGTACGTATTAGTATCGTGGCGCCGCCTCTCGGGCGCGCCGGTAACTAAATCACAGCTGACTGACCTGTTGGTAAAGATGTGCGCCTCCGGCGGGGAACCCGTAAGGACGACCTGACTCCCAGACGAGGTTCCCATCTCCTGGGGGTCGAACTTGAACGCCTCGGGCTGCGAGAGCGTCTCCGTCTCCGCTGGGGTGCGCATCCTGGTGAGATCTACGACGCGTCAGACCTAAAACAGCAAAAAAAGAAAGAAAATAAGAATAAGAAAAAAAAATCCAGTGAGGAAGAAAATATATATAAGAGCATGTGCATAACAAATAACACGTGTATAGATATAATAAACATTTTCACCGTCACGCGTCTGTTAAAGAAAAGAAATCCAGTGGTTTGAAGAAAGGGAAGAGAGGGAATAAAAAAAAAACCGCAAGTCCCGCTCGCGATTGCGAAACGCCCTCCTGGGGGGATACAGAGAACTGCCTTTCGTCCGCGAGTCGCGACCCAGATCGATCTCGGCAAGTAAATCGCTATCCGAGGCTTTCCAGACCGCGAGACAAACGGTAACAACATTTCTTTTCCCTTTTCCGCGATCTTTTCCCCACCGTGACTCAATAATCATTGCCAAACTCGAGCTAGATGGGTTTCCCGAGCCGCGGCTCGTTTTGAAATTACCGCGCGGCGCCGCCATCTTGGAGAACCGGGGTCACGTGGCGCGCGCCCGATTCAATCGAAAAATCAGGAACAACCGCAATAAAATAAAAAAAACAGCTTCTTCGGGTGTAAAAAAAATACTATTACAACTGTTTTGTCCTATTATTCCATTATTGAACTTGGGAATGAAGGTTTAACCTTGGATTTATAAGAAATTAACCCTCGGAACACGGAGCCATGGGATTGTCATTTAATATCTATTGTCGGGTATCAAAGAATAATTATAAAATAAATAAACCATGTAATTTTGGATAAAATTAGATCAGGAGTGATGTGTCAAAGTTTCGGACAGTTTGGTCTAATGCCCTTTAAAAAAAGCGATTTTTTTTAAGGGGGTTTCACTTCGCCTTAAGGTAGTCGCCGTGGAGGATCAAAACAGACGTAGGGAGCCGGCTTCGCAGGAATGCGAGTCTCGGCGAAAAAGAGAAACACCGGGTTTGGCGTAACAGGGGGGACGGGTTCGTCGGAATGCTCGCGTCCTGGTCTAGTAAGAGGTGTGGTATGTGGTCCTCGCATACCGGGCCCAAGGGATCTTCATATTAGCCAGTCTACATGGTAATTAAACCCCCGCCCGCAAAAAAATTCCAACGAAAAGAAGTCGGAAGACCCTGCCCACAAATATCTGGGCTATAGAGTTCATATAATGTCGATAGATGCACACGTAACAGAATTTTAGAGAGATTTCGTAAATCCAAGATGGCCGCGCGGGATACCCGTTCATATTAGACACTCTACGTGGTAATTAAACCCCCGCTCGCAAAAAATTCCAACGAAAAGAAGTCGGCAAAACAGTCGGAAGACCCTGCACACAAATATCTCGGCTATAGAGTTCATATAATGTCGATAGATGCACGCTTATACGAATTTTAGAGATTTTTCGCCAATTCAAGATGGCCGCGCGGGATACCCGTTCATATTAGACATTATACATGGTAATTAAACCCCCGCCCGCAAAATATTCCAACGAAAAGAAGTCGAAAAAACATTCGGAAGACCCTGCACACAAATATCTGGGCTATTAAGTTCATATAATGTCGATAGATGCACGCGGAAGGGAATTTTAGAGAGATTTCGCCAATCCAAGATGGCGGCGCGGGTACACCTCTTCATATTAGCCTCTCTACACGGCAATTAAGCCCCCTCCGAGGAATTCCAACGAAAAGAAGACACCAGACAGTTGGAAGACTCTATCCCAAAATATCTCAGCGGTACAGCAGCTATACCGAGGCTAACAAATTCATATAACATCCCTCGATGCAAACTAAACCGACTTCGGGGCGTTGGGTATATTTCTAGCAATTGTTTATACCTTTTGATATAAACTTTTATGCATATCTTCATTTTAAATTCCCGGAAAATGCCAAAAGAGGGAGGACACAACAAAACTCGACTTCAGGGCGTTGGGTATTTTTCTTGCGATTGTTTACACCTTTTGGTATAAACTTTTATGCATATCTTCGTTTTAAACTCCCGTAAAATGTCAAAAGAGGAAGGACACAAGAAAACTCTTCTTCTAAACCAACTTCATGGCGTCGCGTGCACTTTCCGTCGACATGCGACATCGACCCCTACGGTTTTGATGGCCGCGAGTCAGAATTAAAGCTTAGGGTGACTCTCAGAAGGGAATGGGAAAGGGCAATTCGATCTTGGTCATTATTCAAGGCGGTTTCCATGTATTTTAACGTGTCACACGATAGTACATCAAGCCCTTCCGCGGTATGACGCGGCGTCGAATGACTCCTCGGAAGAAAGCCCTCCCGAATTCGGCAAAAAGTGTCCTCTCCCCTATTTCGTTCCCTTTAAATCTAACTTCCCCCCTGATTTATACGTAGGAATGAACGGCAGAAGAAAGGGAAATAAGGGAATGCCTAGAAAATTAAATCCCAGGTCATTTGCGAGAGACTGACTTCGCGACATCGCTTACCACTCGAGCCGGCATTGAAGTCACCGAACGAGCGGACGGCGATCCAACTTTTCTGCTCGTTTAAAAAATACCTATTCCCAATATTCCGGCACTTTTGGCACGCAAGAAGTGTCGCAATGTCCCGGGGAAAAGGAATACACGCCTGTGCGAGATTTATATTCGTTAACAGGACGTATAAAGGTGTAATGAATCATTTTCTTCCCGTTAAATTGGATGCCTTGAAATAATTATTCCGCGTACGAAATAAGAAACCGATTCGGGGGTTTTCTCAATTGGAGGAAGTTGGGAGAATTTCGGGTAAAGCCATGGGAAGAAACCCATGTTCGAAGACCCCAACAGGAGAAATGGAGAGTGAAAAAGGCGCAGGTAAGGATTTTAGAAACCGGTCGAAGACCGACGAAGAGGATCATTGTCCGAGGAGCCGAGCCGGCAGGTTCCGTTGATTTATGGCGGTCATGGTGGAAAATGGAAAGCCTAAATGGACCTGTACCCCCCATAAAAGGTCCCTTCGCTCGTCCGATGGAAGACCCCTGTTTACATTTCCAAAATCCTCCGAAAGGCTCTTCCCCAATTTCTCCCGCCGATGTTAAAATGCGTTTTCCAACATGGCGCTATCCCACGGCATGTATTACATATCAATAAAATTGTTCATAATTAAACCCAAGCGCAAGGGGTAAATGCTTGTACTGTGGCCTTCGGAAAGGGGTAAATAAAAATGTGTATAATTCGAAAGGGGTGAATATTCGTACCGTGGTCTTCATAAAGGGTTAAATAAAAATGCGTGTAATTCGAAAGGGGTGAATATTCGTAATGTGGTCTTCGTAAAGGGTTAAATAAAAATGCGTGTAATTCGAAAGGGGTGAATATTCGTAATGTAGTCTTCGTAAGGGGTTAATTAAAAATGTGTGTAATTCGAAAGGGGTGAATATTCGTAATGTGGTCTTCGTAAAGGGTTAAATAAAAATGCGTGTAATTCGAAAGGGGTGAATATTCGTAATGTAGTCTTCGTAAGGGGTTAATTAAAAATGTGTAAAATTCGAAAGGGATGATAATTCGTAGCGTGGTCTTCGAGAAGGGTTAAATAAAAATGCGTATAATTCGAAAGGGATGATAATTCGTAGCGTGGTCTTCGAAAAGGGTTAAATAAAAATGTGTAAAATTCGGAAGGAATGATAATTCGTAGCGTGGTCTTCGAAAAGGGTTAAATAAAAATGCGTGTAATTAGGAAGGGATGATTATTTGTAACGAGGCCTACGAACAGGGGTAAATAAAAATCTGTGGAATTGTGTAGTAAAGCTGGGGAGGTCCTTTCTTGAGTGTCTTGCATTCCCAGGGCCTAAACCTTCTAAAAAAGAGGAATCTCGCGCTAAACCACGAGAAAGCGTTCTCGGGGAGAATATCGATCGCGGAATTCCTGCTCCCACCTGCGAGTCCCTCTCCTGGGGGCTTTGTAGTCTCGGGGATATCATCGGCGTCGCCGCCTCTCGCGCCATACGAGTCGCTTTCTTGCCCCTCCTCGTCGTAGATCTTCCACCTAAAATACGAAGAACAACACTCCCGAAGCGCCGACGCTCGACGAAGACAACCCCGAGGAGCACCCCGACGAACGCGTCCCGAGACTGAAACAAAATGGCGCGCGCCAGCGGCGTCGGCGTCCTCGCGCGCCCGAGAGCCACTGCGGCTGGAGCGCTCCCGTGACCGGCGAAGCGGGCGGCACGCATGCGCGCGCGCCGACTCCCTGCCGCTGCCTTTCTCCCGCCGTAGCGCTGTCTCTCTCCCACCCATACTCCAAGCGTGGGAGGGAGAGAGAGGGGAAGCGGGAAGTGGTCCTAACTGAATTTGTAGAGCTGGAAAAAGTATTTCTATGCGCTCTTGTAGATTGACTTTAAAGTACAAGATTTATAAATTAAATTTAACAGTAATAAACATGTTTGAAATTTGACTTATCTGGCATGCCCAAGAGATTTGTCTTCGTGGGCTCCGATTAAATGTTAAATAAGTTATTGCGTATCGGTCTTAGTTTCCAGTTCGTTGTAAACTTTGATGATGTTTTCGATCTTGGCGAAGGCCTTTAAAAAGTCATCGTCTTCGAGACCAAAACGCTTGTACTGGTGTAAAAATGCAGAATGAGTGTAAGCGTTCCAGGCTTTGGCTACGGTTGCTTCTAGGGGCCGGTTAAGTTGAGAATTGTTGGTAACGAGAGCCAGGAATTTATCCTGGCCAAGTAACTGTCTTGCTTCGTTGATACAATCGAATCTACTGTGCCTAGGCATCCACTTGGCGTATAAATTGTCATCCATTAGATCGGCACAAACTATCGGATCACTTTTTCCAGAATTTCCACGGGCCATGAGTCGATTTGCAACCGATCGAGAGTATTGAAATCCTTTCGTAGAGCTGGGCAGACGAGACAGAGCTCTGGTTTCCATGTCTGTCAATTCGTCATTGAAAATAGGCACTCGTAAGGTCTGTTTGATATGTCGGACATAGGTCTCCCACTTGCAGGCCGATTCGTATTGAGTGGACAACGGAGGCACGTGTGGCGTACTTCTTATCGCAGCGAGTCGATAGCATGGCTGCGGAACAATTTGAGAAACTAAAGAGTTCGCACCATTCCGAGTGTCCCTCACAGGCTGGAAAACAGAGATTAGTTTCTGCGCCACCACATCGTTCAAGTGCTGCAGCCTTGCATCGAAGTTCCTCAACAATTGCACGCAGATTCCATGTATCTGCTCGTTCTCGAATAAAATCACCATGTCTGCGTTATCACAAAACTTCCCCACCGTCAGCAGTGTATTGTAATTCTGCGTTCCGACTTCGCCAGAGCTGAAGGGCAGGACGATCGCTGCGACGATGGTTTTCGTAGGGAACTCGTTGCGTAGAAGCTCGACTACGTGACTGCCGACGCCAGAGCCAGTGCCTCCGGCAGAACTGAGCAGCAAGAGGATGCCGTCCAAGCGATCCAATCTCTCGACCACTCGCTTCGCTACTGTCAGAGTCTCGTCTCCGAGCTCTCGCCCTTTCACCATGTATCCATAAGACCAGTTATTAGCGGAACCTCCACCAGCTCGATATACTAAATTCTGCGAACTGTATGTCCAGACCTTTGCAGAGTCTCCGCACACTCGGTTGACCACCTTCTGTTCTGTATCCACAAGTATCGCCCTGGCCAAGTGTCTGCCATTCTTTGCGATCCCTTCGAACCACTTCTCGAAAGCTGCCTCGGTGTACCAACCATTATCCCCTCTAGAAACCCCTGTCTTATTTGAAATTATGTCCTCCGATATCTTTGAGAATAATGAATGTCCAAGCTGATTACCACACTGGCCGAACTGGATCGTCAACATGCTTTTGAGGTCCTCCGGAGTAATCAAAACGGAGTTTCTTGCGATTCATCTTCCTATAAACATTACGTAGCTCTTATAACCTAGCTTCCCTTTTACATCAAATCCAATAAAGCATTATTTAACAATAAACTTACACGTGACATTTTCCCTCCCGCTGCAGCGTGGTCTCCTTTCTCTCCCGCCATTCAAAACAAGCAACTACCGCGCCTCTCCTCATTGGCCGCCGCCATCTTGGACCACGTGACCTCTCTCTCCCCGCGGGCATTTCAAATCCCGCCGCGTATAAAAATTGCAAACTGCACTCCCACGTACAAATTACATTGTACATATCCAATCCATCCAATAAAACGATACGAGAGGATCATTCTGCATACATAAAACCGGAAAATAATTATAAAACTCTCCTCCAAGCACGGAATAATCTCAAACTCCAGCACATGATTATAGAGGTCTTAAGGAAGAGCATGGTACTTGTCCAGGATAAACCCACATTTTTCCTCTTAAAAAAATTAAATCTCCTGAATTTCAAGACCTATATAATCGCGTGTAGAGTTTGAAATTTTTCCGTGGGGTTGAGAGGGGTTTTTCTCTCCATGGGCGTTCGAAATGGGAAATAGGAACTCGTCGAGAAAGTCTGGTGATAAAGTGGCGGCCACGGGCCGTTCCCAATCTTATATACATGCGCAAAGTGGAAAATCCAGAGAGAAGGGGCAAAGTCTCGTCGACGGCCTCGGGTTCTCTGATAGAGGCGAGAGCCAACAGTGACGTCGAAACTTAGATCGAGAGACGATTGCAATTGTTATCGAATTCATTCAGTTCGCCCTAACAGCCCGAGAGCCCAATTCCGGACATTTCTTTCTTCGACACTCGCGTTATACCCTGTGCCCATTGTCTCCAAAAGGAGTTACCTGGGAAATAAACGAGACCGGGATCGACTTGCTCAAAGCAAGTCGTGGGAGCGGGATGGAAATCGATTTATAGGTTATACAGGAGGTACAAGTTCGCAATAGTACAGATTTATCGTTATCCGAAGTGTATGGCGCATGGAGGGATGTCCTCTTCTTCCTCCGTTGGCTTTGCGTTCTTCCACCTGAAAAAAAGGAATTGGAGTTAGTGTGTTTCTTCCTAATTGTTACTTGGAGAGGAGTAACTTGCGGACGAGTCCATGTCTGATCCGTCCATGGGATGGTGGCAGCGCAGAGTGGCTCGAAAGCCAGCGACGCTCGCCTTTATGGGATGGTGAGAGAGGCACAGCCATGCCAGGACTGTCCTGGCGATTCAGGGCGATGGAGCCAGGAACTGGCCCTAGGGATAAAAAGGGACGCCTATGGAATCCCCAGACCAGGGTTGGGTAGGTATAATACGCTACGACGTATAAAAAACGTCTATACCCATGTAGCAATTTGGATGTAGTTCCGAAAAACGCATGTTAATCATACTTGAATAGTTCAGGGTTACACCGAGCTTTTCTCGAAAAGGAACGGTTTTGGAGGAAAAATGTGTAGATCATAAAAGATGCATCCTTTCAAAAGCCACACTTTTTGTCCGAAACTTTTTTTTATATTACCAAGAAATTTCGAGAATATAGTTACAAAAAGCACATGCCTCTGGGTAATCAGAAACTTCGTATACCCATTGTAGTTCAGGGATATATTGAGTTTTTCTCGAGAAGTAACGGGTTTGGAGGAAAAATGTATAGATCATAAAAGATGCATCCTTTAAAAAGCCACACTTTTTGTTCGAAACTTTTTTCTATATCACTAAGAATTTTCGAACTATACGCTTCATTACCCATCTCTGTTGCGAAGATTCGGGCGAAGATGTCGGGGAAGTCGAGAGCGTCGAAAACGAAGGAATGGACTGCCGAACGGTGGCGCCAGCTGGCAGTTCCTTTGAGAATGAAAGTCTCGGCTCGACTAGGACGAGCGACGACGAAGAATCCGTCGACGGAGGCGGCTGGACCGTCGACGGGAACCCTACCTTGCCGGCCGTCCAGCATTTCGACAATGGCGTCGCTCTGCCGTTCCGCGAGCCCGAGAATTTCGGCAGCGTCAACGTGAAGAATTCAAGCAACGTTCATGTCGGGAGCAAAACCTTTTACAAGGGTCCCGTCACGATAAAGCAGTTCGTCTACACGAATCAGGCGGGCCCGGAAGAGGGTGCCATTAATTACGGTCTTCCAGGGTCCCCAGAAACGATCATCGACGTCAAGAGCGCCGCCAACGGCGGCCCTCGGAAACTCCAGGCCTCTCACTGCAACTACGAGAAAGGTAGCGTCTTCAGAGCCTCAAGAATCAACTTTCCAGGAACATATCCTAGAACAATAACTTAAGGAGACACGAGAGGATTACATATCAATATGCTTACACACATAAACATTTAAAAAATTCACTTTATCGCGACATTAACTCCGTTCACGGCTTAAACAATTCCCAGTTGAATCGGAGCTTTCCTTATTGACTCTACCACACTTGCGTTTGCCTTCGGCAAAAGAACTGCCGAATTAAAAACATTAACGCGCATAATTTCCACTCGACATATCATCAGCACGATTAATGTTTAATTTCGGTTTATCGCCTGTTATATTTTACATAAGTCACAGTCCTGACATTATCGGGACCACATGTAGCGTTTTCCGATAATCGAGTCGGCTGCCATTTCATTATTTGCTGGTAACGCCTATGTCATTATCGCGCTGATAATTGATTTCGATTGATCATACTCAAATTGCCGATTTAAAGATATCCCACCGATTGGATTCCTTCGACAAAGCAGATTGCAATCCGGCTATTTCCGGCCAATCTATCCGACATTTTTTTTTTATTCAGTGATTAATGCAATGGGAACATTCGTCTCGCCTTAAGGCTTTCCAGTTGTGCAATGGCTCTCAGTATTGTAAAAATTTTATGAGAAACTTCTCATGGCAAAATAGTTTAAATTCGCAGATTATGAAAAAAGGCCCTTAATAATATTTTTTATTCTGTGATTAATGCAATGGGAACATTCGTCTCGCCTTAAGGCTGCTTTTCATCTCTTTCCAGTTGTGCAGTGGCTCTGGTCGTGGCGCTGCGCGATTTCAGCCTGCAGTTTAGCAATGTTGTTCATCACAGCAATGACAGTGACTTTTGTCATTTTGACACAATATGCAAAAGCAGCAGAGCCCACATTTCCGCAAATACCCGACTCGGCATTAGGCAACGGTACGTATTATTATTCCAGATTTTTAATAACCTTTCCCTACCTTTAAGGCTACGCGCAAGTGGCGGCACAGAAGTCTCGTTAATGAAGCTTTTCTCCTAATTGGGTGTACCTAATCACTTGAAACTCTACAAAGTCAATATAGAGGCCACAATGAAGGTCCTGACGGCCATAGAATTTCAATTTTTTAAAAATTTCTTTACATGTATTTTAAAAATTTTTCATAAAAAATAAAATTTCACGGGCGTCAGGACATTTATTAGAGGCTTCGCATTTGCGGTGAAAAGTTTCAAAGGATTCGGTACACCCAGTGTCGTGGAAGAGATTAATTTACGAGCGCCTCAGCTTCCATATGCCCTTAAGGGCATATGGCCTAAGTGAAAATATTGATAAGACTTTTTTACCAAACTGGGTGCACCGAATAATCTGATTTTTTTTAGGGGTCGTGCCACAAGGGGTGCGGTTTGTGGAGCGTGACGAGTGGGGTGCTCAGCCACCTGTGGAGCACCTGGAAAAATTGAAACTACCTGTAGAGTACGTAGTGATAAGTCATACCGCTACCGACTTCTGCAGTACCCAGTCGCAGTGCACATATCGAGTGCGGATGGCGCAAACCTTTCACATAGAAGCAAAAAATTGGTCGGACATAGGGTACGACTAGTTATTTTAAATTCTGCAAAAATTTAAGGCGGTATGAAAGCGCCAGCCGGGGAATTTCATTTTATTAACATTGATTTAATTTCCTGGCGCCTTTCATACCGCCTTAAGTTTAAATAAGAATATGGTACGAATGTTTAAAAAAAAAAAAAATTCCCATCTAGGTACAACTTCCTCGTCGGTGGCGACGGTCTGGCGTACGTTGGCCGAAGTTGGAACTACGTGGGGGCCCACGCGTTTGGGTACAACTTCAAGAGCATAGGGATTTCCTTCATAGGGACTTTCATAGACGTTTTGCCGCCGAAGAAGCAGATATATGCGGCGCAGAAGATCATCGAGATCGGCGTTGATGGTGGGAAAATCGCAAAGGACTACAAGCTGATCGGACATTGCCAAGCTCAGCCTACGGTTAGCCCTGGGAACGCGTTGTATGCTCACATCAAGACCTGGCCACATTGGTGTCCTGATCCTGTACCAACTTAAGAAAGATTTGGTTGTTCTTGATAAAGCGACATCTGTGAGGGAAATTATGTATTAACGCGTTGTATACTCACATGAAGACCTGACTACGGTGGTGTCCTGATGTTGTACCAACTTAAGAAAAATTGGGTTGTTCTTGATAAAGCGACATCTGTGAGGGAAATTATGTATTAACGCGTTGTATACTCACATGAAGACCTGACTACGGTGGTGTCCTGATGTTGTACCAACTTAAGAAAGATTGGGTTGTTCTTGATAAAGCGACATCTGTGAGGGAAATCATTTGTTAACGCGTTGTATACTCGCATCAAGACATGACTGCATTGATGCCTTAATGTTTTACCAACCTGAAAAATATGTTGTTCTTCATTAAGGCGATATGAAAGTGGCGTCAAAGAGGTGCCTTAATCCTGTACCAACCTAAAAAAGATGTACTTCATTAAGGCGATATGAAAGTGGCGTGAAGAAAAGTAAATGAAACTTTTCTCCAAACTGCATGAACTGCAAATAAAGTTTAACGAAATAAGTGTAATATACAATAACAAGTTACATTATACATGCACATGTCAGTTTAATATTTAACCCCGAAGATCCTCGACAGGGGAAATAAATTCCCCCAGATTTACTAATAAGAAGAAAAAAAAATCCCCAGAAATTTGTTACGTCCTTTTTTTATAATAAAGTGCTAAATATAAGGTTTTCAAACACTGAGTAGATTGGCGTTGACCTTCTTTTCGGAAATTCGTAAAAAAAAAAGAAAAGACGATCGCTTCGAGTTTTTTTTAACTTTCAGAAATTGGAGACTTTTTATGGTGAGAAATTTACCAGGCCGTTGTAAATTCATTTCAATTACCGATATTCCGTCGGTAATTCCCAGAGAGACATGTACTCCATGTTTTCCTTCGTTGCAGCTTTCGGAACCAAAACGTATAAAAAAAGGGAACAGATAAAATAAGGAACCTCGCAAGGAACCGAGCTCGCCGAATGTCAATTTCTAATCGACAGACACCTCGGTGAAATATAATTAATAATTGGACAAACCTGAGAAAAATTTCAACCAGGGAAGGTGTTCGTTCGAAGGTAAAACCATGAAGGTAAAATAATGCCCGATTTTCCGTATCTTTTTATTTCTTTTCACTTTAAGGCGATCTGCAAGGGAGGCATTCATATGTCCACAGTGTACACTAGGAGACTTCAATGCCCTCCCATCCTGCACAGGCGATGTCGTATCTGCAGGGGAGGCATTCATGTCCGCCATTGTACATTCAGACATAATTGGTACATAAAGTGTATAAAAGAACTATCAAAAAATGCCCTAATGTACACTGGGAGACTTCAATGCCCTCCCAACCTGCACAGGCGATGTCGTATCTGCAGGGGAGGCATTCATGTCCGCCATTGTACATTCAGACATAATTGGTACATAAAGTGTATAAAAGAACTATCAAAAAATGTCCTAATGTACACTGGGAGACTTCAATGCCCTCCCAACCTGCACAGGCGATGTCGTATCTGCAGGGGAGGCATTCATGTCCGCCATTGTACATTCGGACATAATTGGTACATAAAGTGTATAAAAGAACTATCAAAAAATGCCCTAATGTACACTGGGAGACTTCAATGCCCTCCCTACCTGCACAGGCGATGTCGTATCTGCAAGGGAGGCATTCATGTCCGCCATTCCACGTTTAATAAAATGGTTTTCAGAAACGAAGACCTTCTGTGTGGAGTCACCTTCGAATCCCAAAATATGTCTCTAGACCTCGAAGCTTCGCGTCGGCCTTAATAAGGAGCAAAAGTCTCCACGATCCGAAAAGGAAGCGATTATTGCGAGACAATGCGAGCTTGCAGACAAGAAGAAGCGATTACCTCTACAATTATGAAGAGACTGATATAAAAGATGTGTTTGCTTCGCTGGAGTCTCTGTTTGACGTGAAGAAACCGATAAACTTCTCCGAAGTTCGACCTCCATTTCTCTCAAAATACGGCGAAGGCTATACTTCAACTTCCTCTGCAGATTCAAAAAGTCCTCGAAGTCCTTTGATACCAATCGAAGCTGTTAATCATTCCCAAAAAGACGAGCCCCATCACCTGCAGGTACAAAAAATAATTAATGCAATTAGGAGATGAAGTTTTGTCGACGAGATGATAGTGAAGTTTCCATTTCTTTTTTTTTTAAAGGAAACTTCTTATGGCAAAATAGTTTAAATTCGTTTCAGAGTCTCAGGGAAATTCAGAGAATTTTCAGAGCGACTCCTCGAAATTTTCTAATCCACCTTCTTGCATTTTTTCTGCAGCCCCGAGATGCAAATGAAGGTGGAGGAGGAGAAGACGCGAAGATAAGGAACTTGAAAGAAGAACTTGAAGAGATAGTAGAAGAATTAACATTCGAGTGCTTATCATGAATTTTTCCCCGCCATTTTATTCCTCTTAAACGTTTATTTCCCCAAATTCGCATTTCTTCCTCTACAGAGCAATGGCGGACGAAGAGGTCGAAGAAGAGATGGTGGAGGGCGAAGGAGACGTCATGAACGACGCTTTCTTAATATCGGACACCGAAACAGGAGATGCGGATGAGGAAGAAAAGACCGAGGGAAGCGCGGAAAAGTCGGATAAATTGAAAGCGGGAAAAGGGGACGACGCGAAGAAAGATGGCGCCGAAGAGATGCCGCCATCTTGCCCGATGCCTGAAGGAGTCGGCGAAGGTCCCTTATTAAAACTCGATTAACTTTTTTTCTCTCTCCCGAGGGGATTAATTTAACATCCCATGTTCTTCATCGGTGCAATTTGTTAATTATCAAGCTTTATAATTAATTGCAAGGTGTCCCTGTCGGGCCTGAGAGACATCGAGAGTCCAACATGAGCGCTCTTCCTTTGACGGATTCGGCTGTCATGAAAGAGATGAAAGAAGCCGACGAGAGATGTGCTGTCATTGCCAAAGAAATTGAGGACCTTAAGAAGGAGCTAACCGATCTAACTAACGTAAATCCCAATTATTTTTTTGCTAATAAACTAAGCAGAAAAAAATTAATTAACGCGACGCGAAACCCTCAAGACCCGTCGATTGCAAGAACTGATTTTTTTTCATTTTCATTCCACTCCACCTGCTAAAATTTTTTTCACAACCTAATTCTGAAAATTTCAACGATGTAATTAATTAATTAATAATCCAATAACGAGACAGAAAGAAGACCTGACGCAGGAGGACACGCAGGAGATCAAAAGGAAGCAAGAGGACGTGATGAAAAAATTGGCCGAAATTGATAACATTACGAGGAAGTTGCAAAGATTGCTCGGCTTGGCCGATCCCTCCAGTCGAGCATTTGCAAAAATGTTCGAAATGCTGCCACGCCCTGGAGAACAACTAAAAATGGTATAATCAACTACCTGGAAAGATTTTCCAATCGTTTCATCGATTGATTAACCCACTGTCGACATACGGGCGAAATTCCTATGACCGTGCAGGCGATATTGGACCAAACGTCGGGCGCTCTTAGTAGCCAAAGTGTTAAGCAACGGAGAAAGAAAAAATAAATAAACAAATAAATAACAAGAGTTACTATAGTTAAATAAAAGTTTTATCAACACTTTTACGTTTCATTTCCGAATTTCAGGGAGACGAAAGTCAAAGAAGCCAAGAGATAAGAGAAATTAATTCGGATAAAGGCGAGAGAAAGAAAATAGACGGAGATGCGACATGCGGAAAAACAGGATTAGAATTCCCGCAAATGGAGTATCCAGAAGATAAGTAAGTTGATCTGTTATTTTTTTCCCTTTTTTTCTTTCTCCATTGCTTAACTTTCTGGCTACTAAGAGCGTCCGACGTTTGGTCGAATATCGCCTGCCCGGTCAGGGGAATTTCGCCCCTATGTCGAAATGGCTCCGTGTACAAAGGGTTAAGGTGGAGTGAAAGTGGCGCCAAAGAGTTTCACCTTCCCCTGCGGTTATTTAACAATTATCCAATTATTTTAATTTGGATTTATTATTATNTTATTTTTTAATAGGGACCGAGCACGTGTCCTCAGCAACAACTTCGGGACCTCCGAGAGCAGTATGCCAGACTTCAGGACGACTACAAAAGTAAATTTTATAATAATTTTGGAAGGTTGCCAAGAGTGATAGTATGTGGACACACCGAGGAAAATATACCGAAGATAGTCGTGGCTGATAGCGATCGCAAAGGGAAAAGAAAATGTCTGCAAAGTTTGACCGGAAAACTCAGCGAATCTCTGACGATGCAGGAGAGACTCGCGAAAGAAAATGCGGAACTGGAAGGAGGAAAGTAGGTTTTTTTTTTTGAAAACGTTATTCCATATGCTTGAAAATGTCACTCAATATGCCTGAAAACGTCATTTTATATGTATGAATACGTCACTCGATATGCCTGAAAACGTCACTCTATATGCCTGAAAACGTCACTCGATATGCCTGAAAACGTCACTCTATATGCCTGAAAACGTCATTCTACATTCCTGAAAACGTCACTCTATATGCCTGAAAACGTCAAAATACTGAAAAAAACGTTTCCCAAAACCGGATGCCCCATGAACTTTTTCTCATCAGTATAGATAGGAATGATAATTATCGAGTGTGCTACGAGAAACAAAAGAGACATCTTAACACCCCCGTCTCCAAGGAAACGTAGCATTTCTTTGTTCGTCCCAAAAACGTCAAGATTCGTGACAAGTGGCTCAGCATAGAATGGAAAAATTGTCCGATTAATAAAAAATAAAATGAGAAAGAGTTCAGTCAAAGTCAGGATACATCGTTAGATACTTCTAGGGAACTTTCTCCCTAGTGACTTTCTTCAGGTACAGACTAGAGGAGGCTCTGCTGGAAAAAGACAACGCGGTGGAGAGTCTCCAGCGCAAGGTACACGGCCTCCAAGCAGAAATGCGAATCGTCATCAAAGAGAATTCCGACTTGAGCAAGCAGTTGGTTTACTTGACTCAGAAAGTTGGAAGCCCCAGCTGTTGCGACTCCTGCCCTGGAGGGACATCCTCGCATACCCCTTCTTCACCTTCCACAAAGCCTGGACATTTTCAGGACGATTCTTTCCCCTGCAAGTGTCATCAGGATCCCCATAAAGAAGCGAATGATTTCTCCAACACCGTATGTGGTGAGCATAACGATGACTTAAGGTGGTATGAAAGTGTCAAGTTCATCCCGAAAACGTCAAAATATTTATAAGACCTTTCTGCACCGAATCATTTGAAACTCCATTACGAGATTATTGTACAGCGCGAAATTTCATATTCCGAGAAAGAAATAGAAATTTTTCATCGGACAGGGAAGAAAAAAAAACATTTTTTTCGAAAAATGAAATTTCACGATTAGATGAAATGCCCTATCATTAATGAACACACACCTCCGGTAACAGTTTCCCCCAGACTTGCCGGTGGTTCCTGTGGAGGTTTGTCCGAATCTGGAGGAACAATGTGTTGCAGAAGTCCAGCAACAACTAAGCCATCATCAGCGCCATCTGCGAGAGGCGCGTGTCCTGCAGAACTGGAGAACAAGCTCGCCATCTACGGGAGCAACACAAAGCAATTGGTAATGCTCATTGTGGCCTTCCTTAATTATCTAATTATTGCTTCCTCTCCCTGGAACATTCAGGAACAACAATTAGGCAGCATGGAGTGCGAGGTGCGCAACATGCAAATGGAACTGGCAAATGTCCAGCGAGAGAGGCAGCAATTGGAGCAGCAACGAAAGCTGCTGAAGTGCACCGGGCCTTGCGCCCCTTGTGCCTGTTGTCCTCCGCCTATGTCAGGAACAATGTCCACCCAGCAACAAAATGTTCCTTGTGGCCCGATTGGGGTTCCCCAGGGTTCCTCACCTCCCCTCGCCATGCCTGCTGTTCTTTCCAAGGTACCCTTTAAGATTTTCAGCAACGATCCCACGTGGAACCAGGAATCTATCCAGGAATCGAGCGACCTGCGCTGCCGTCAATGCTCCTGGAAAGGGAATTACATGCCTGAGTACGAGAGATAGTAGAGAAATAATTATAAAGGCAGTTAAATCGGAACTTAATTTCTTAGATAGCTTGGAAAATCCTCCCTTGATGATGATGCTTCGGGTCCGCCATCTTGTTTATTAATATAGCGAGATTATGGCTCCAGAGGTTCTGAAAAATTAAATCGCATAAATACGACTGATAATAGAAAAATATTGATAAAGTCAGGGAATTCGAACCTAATTTGTTAGCTTCGAAAATCCTCCCTCGATAGAAATATTGAGCGAAATTTTGAGCCTGGTCCCGCTTCGAGGTCCGCCATCTTGTTTTTTCCTACCGAAGCATCAAATCACTCTTTCTAATCGAAAAAAATCGCAAACTAATGAGCAATAACTGTTTAAAAAGCTATTTAACATCATAGAAAGAACAGTGGAAGCCGTAGAAGAGGATATTAATGATTAATTCCTGGAAAAAGATGTGAAATTATCGGAAGAAAATATTTTTATAGGAACGGCGCCCTCCGCGTTTCTTAACGAGGCGTCTTTAAAAATATTTTAATAATGCCGTTTAACCACGATCTTGCTGTAAATGAGATTGCTAGTCAGCAACCAGTTATTTCCTATGAAATAAACATATTTCTCTCAGTAAAGAAATCCCATCTCAGTCTTTTCCTTCCCCACTTTCGCGCGGCGTCATTCTGTACGTAATTTCCTGCCGCGAATTTCCAATAAACAATTAACAACAATCATGACAGAGAGATCATGAAACCGGTAGAAAAATATGATTATTTCATATGAATCTCTGCGTTGCCCCGGTTTGCAAATTATGTACAGCACGGCGTCGGCGCAATTTCCATTATCGCAAAATAATTATTAATCGCAAGTACCAAGCCTCCCGATATAAATAAATAAATAAAAAAATTCAGATAATTCTCCAACGCTCCGAGAATATGAGAAAGTCACAGAAAATTGTCGAAATCTCGAGCTTAAGCAACCTTAAAGAAATATTTTATATTATCGGACATTGCATTTGTTTATCGAGAAACGGTGATAAGGAAGAGGAAATGGATTTTTTTATCGGATGCAGATGAGTCTTCAGGGTCCTCCACCGTGCTCGGGATCTTGCACCAATGCGCCCATGGTGGGTATAAATTCTTAATAAATAATAAATGGAATAAATTATATGTTAATAATTATTTTTTAATAGGGACCGAGCACGTGTCCTCAGCAACAACTTCGGGACCTCCGAGAGCAGTATGCCAGACTTCAGGACGACTACAAAAGTAAATTGTGCGAAGTGTCGTGTCTTAGAGCAGACGCCGAGAAGATGAAGCAGGAGACGAAGACCTCGAGAGAGGAGAAAGAACGGATGGAGAATAAATTAATAGACGTGCAAGAGAGGCTAAAGATTCTAGAGGCTGAGAAGAACAAATTAGACGGTAAAATGTTGCTGGAAATATTTTAAAAAGTAATGAATCCGTAAAATATACGTATTTTATACGTTGAGATAAAGGCTTAAATNATTTCATAAAATCTTAAATGTATATTTAAACAATAGGTAGCAAAGAGTTAATGGTGGAACAAGAACAGGCATTGTTGGTGGCTAAACAACGATTTCGAGAAGCACAGGACGAGCTAGAAGAATTACGTTCCTTGATCCAGGACCAAGCCAACCAATTAGAGGACTATCGTAACAAGTATTTACAGGTGAGCCCAAAATGAACAATATTTCATTATCATTAATTTAAGGTGATATGAAAGTATAAGAAAATAACTCTTGTTTATGAAACTCTACTCCGAATCGCTTGAAGCCTTTACAATGTAATATGAAGGCTATAAAAAAGATCCTGACACCTATGAAATTTCAATTATTAAAAGTTCATTTATGAACATTCTCAAATTGTTATATAAAAAATGAAAATTGTACCGAATCGCTTCAAGCCTTTACATTATTTATTATACCCTGACACCCAATAAATTCCAATTATTAAAAATTCATTTATGAACATTTTCAAAATTTTGTTAAAAAAATGAAATTTCATGAGTCTCTATTTTTACAATGTCAAGTTTCAAACAATTTGAAATATCCAGTTTATATAAAATTCACATGAACAATGGATTTTCCTAAAGTGGGATTTTCACGCCCCCTTAACCAATTTTAATTGTTATGAACATTTTGCCCCATAGGCGCAGCAACAGGTAGAAGAGCAACGGAGACAATTGGACCTGATGGAGATGGACAATGCTCGTATGAACGAAAACGTGACTCTAGAGATTGGCCGGGTAAAGGTAATGAATAATTAATAATATCGATTTTTTATCTACACCGAGGGGAAAATATAATTCCCAGAGATTAATTACACTTCCTCCTTCACGTTGGATAAATTTTCAACGCCTATTGGTAAACGACAATTTCAGAATCAATTCCAAGAGAAGCTGGCCGAGCTGGCGCCACTTCCGGATCTCTTGAAGCAGACTCAGATGAAGCTCCAGGAGTCCCAGCAGCTGCGACTATTAGCTGAGAGGAACTGCGAGGACCTCTCCAGAGAGCTCCTCAGCTGCAAAGACAAGATGCAGGCGCTGCAAAATCAGCTGGAAGTCCTGCGAAACGAAAACCAAGCCCTTCAGGTGAAAAAATGCGTCAGAAATATGGAAAATATGTTAAAAGATGCTAATCCTTCGCAGTAGAAATAAGCTCAGAACGTCTTAAGAGTGATACGACAGCGCCACTCTGTGGAGGTGGGGAAATGTTACATTATTCGGCTATTAAAATGCGTCTTAAGGGTGATACGACAGCGCCACTCCATGGACGCGGGGAAATGTTAAATTATTCGGCTATTAAAATGCGTCTTAAGGGTGATACGACAGCGCCATTCCATGGACGCGGGGAAATGTTAAATTATTCGGCTGTTAAAATGCGTCTTAAGGGTGATACGATAGCGCCATTCCATGGACGTGGGGAAAAGTTAAACTATTCGGCTATTGAAATGCGTCTTAAGGGTGATACGACAGCTCTACTCTGTGGATGTGGGGAAATGTTAAATTATTTGAGTATCAAAGTGCGTCTTAAGGGTGATACAACAGCGCCACTCCCTAGACGTGTGAAAATGTCAAACTATTCGGCTATCAAAATGCTTTCAGAATGAAAAAGGCAGCGCGAACGGTCGCTGGGACGATCTAGAAAAGAGAAACAACGAGCTGAGAAACGAAAACGAGAGGTTGAAGAACGCCTTATCCCGTTTCGAGGAGCACGAGTCGCAATTGCAGAAGAAAATCGACGAGAAGATGCACGAGGTCGTGCAGCTGACCGCCATGTTGGAACAGGTAATAAAATTATCATCTCAAAACATAAGAAATACGAAACAAAGTAATCCCGAATTCCAGGTGAGGGAAGATTCAGCTCGACAGGTCGCGAGAACAAAAGAAAGGTGCGAGACGGTAAGAAGAACAATGCAGGGACAAATAGCAGAGATGGAGAGACAATTGGCGCAATGTAGAGCGACTGCTAGAGCGGCACAAAAGGATCGCGACGAGGTTAGACGATCATCGTTAAAAATAGGGAGACTCGCCCAACATCTACCAGTAAAATAGTTTCAGATAAAAAAATACATTCCGGAACAATATCAATAGAATCTAGCTCAGTAGGTAACGCGTCTATAGGAACCGTTTAGTTGCGGCGAAACGCCACAGATGGCGTTGGTCGCTCAAGCGTCTCAAAAGTTCCACATAGATCTCTTAACAATAACCCTACAAAAATGACAAACTAAACGCTTAATTCCGTACAATCCTCAACAAGAGTCCAACAAACGGGAATACAAATACAAACGTCCTTAACGTGGCGCGTCATAAGTTACTAGATAACTTAATAGTAATATAACTAACCTAGCGTACTAAAAGCTCAACCCTAGTTACATTTCCCCATCCGACAGATCCGTCAGAAGATGCAGGGTCAGATAAACAATTTGAACGAAGCTTTCGAGCAAGCCCAAGGTCGCATAAGGTCTCTTCAAGGTCACGTGAACTACCTGAAGAACTCTTACAGCAACATCTTCCACGGGCAAGGCCAAGGAGAGACCCCTGGCGGCGTAGCAGGGGAACCTTCAGGCCAAGGTCAAGGCCAAGGTTACGACTCCTGCGACTGCAACTACTGAACTGAACTTGAGGATCCGCTAAACCGGAAGTCTTCACGTAGAGCCGAAATTCCAGCGAATTGCGATCCCTTTTCTATTTCCACATTAATGGCGGACCCTCCTGAAGAGTCTTCGAATCTCGCGACACCCTGGAAGGAAAAGAACCTTTTACAAATCTGAGAAAGAAATGGCGCCGACGCGACGACCTCCAAAATAGGAATAAGAACCCGCCGAGATGGCCACGCGTGTACTTTCCTTTTTATTTAATAAATCGACCATGTATTTTTATAAATGTTTACGGGCTTCCGCACACCGTGGAATGTTCTCACTTCCTGGACAGACATTCGAGGACAAACTGCGTGAAAATAAAATGAAAAGCCGGCAATAATAGCCGCGCACTGAAGGAAACTTAAAACAGCACTAATACAGATCCTAATATAATAATATATATTTATATTTATTTATATAAACCTCTCTCGACGCGCCCCAAAGTGAAGACTCTTAGACGAGTGGCTCCCTCTCGCGAGAGTCGAAAGAAACCCGAGGAAAAAATATTAAAAATAGAAAAAGTGATCGGGGAAACCCATGGACATAGTATATACTGCCAGTCTATAAATGCCTAGGGGAAAATCACTATTCGCAACTGTTTATATTAATTCCTGGCGCCTTTCATGTAAAGGGTGCGGAAAACTCAGGGCGGCCATTTTGGATTTCAACGTCGCTGCGAGGAAATTCACGTAAATAATATCCTGCCGGTATTTCCCCAAATAATTCACCGTCGGATGATTTGGAAATTAAACCGGGCCATAGAATTATCCTGCGAGTATTAAGGTCATTATATACACACAGAAACGTGAAAAATATTTATAACTTTTATCCCAAATAGATGCAAGAAATAATTCGAAGCTTCAGCACGCGATGACGGAAGACCTAAAAAAGAACGCGACACCCGTAAAATTTGACTTTCAAGAATAAAAGAGAAATAAACTGTATCCTTAATTCGAGTTTGGGATAAACGCATTGTTCTTTTTTTTTTTTTAAATAAACTTTCACGAGCATCGCGCTCTTCCTTAGGGCCTCCATAATCGCGCGTTAAGTTTTCTAAATATTCAGTGCGTTCAGTTTGGCAGAAAAGTCTCATAATCATCTTCCCGTTTCGATATGTACATAATGACGCTTTCACGTCGCCTTAATTAGTAACTGGATTGCGGAAAATCAGGCTACACTGGTGAGCGTTTCTCTTAACTAAGTATTTCAGAGGTTAAGACTTAATTCTGATCACGTCTCTGGTCTCTCTGCATAATAAATCCAAGTCTGAAGGTATAAAAGCAAGAACGTTCCGCCAAATAAGTATTGAAATGAAAAGAAATGGAAAGAAAGGAAGAAAGAGCGGTTCTTTTAAACGACCCGCGAGGGCAGCGCCGCGAGCGGGACGCGCTCGAACTAAACGGCGGTCCACGGCTATGTACACAGGAGCGTCTAAAGTGTAAACGAAGAAACATAGAAAAATGGGCCGTCAATCAGTCGTTTCAATTCAGGTCCGAGGAGTAGAGCATGTGGATCATGTCGACGACGGCTTCGGATCGCGAGCGGAGTTTCTCCATCTTGACTCGCATGAACTCCATCTGGGCTTCCATTTCCAGGCGCATGGACTCCATCTGAGCCTCCATCTCGGTGGCGACCTCCTTCCGTCTGGAGCACTGGCAGCACCTGAAATTACTTCCCATTAATCCCATTCATTTTAATCAAACAAGCTCAAGTCATCTCAACCCAGTTGCCAGTTACCTCCCGGTAGACTCGGTAGATGGCGTCTTCTCTCTCGACAGTTCCGCCATCGACGAGTTCCCGGAGGAGCAGGGGGTGACCCGAATCTGGGGGATGCGGTTAGCAGGGCTCTGCTCTTTCTCCTGATTAACATTGGATTTATAAATGCTCGAAGAACTGGCGGGGGGTCGACAATCCCCGCAGCCCTTCAAGAAGTCCAGGAGGATGCCCCTGACCCTCTTGCCGCTCAGTCTTCGCCGTCGAACCTATTTCATTCACATTTATTAAAGAAACAACCGCCCAGGGAATTGTTCAAATGGAAGACAACGCACCCTGGGACCCTGGTGTCGTCATTCAAGATGGCCGACCCAGGGTTACCAGGGCCTTAAGTCACTAGGGGGTACAAGGGTCTTTTCGTAAAGTACCTCGGGCGCTTCCAGGGTCGCCCTGTTGGGTATCAGCAAGTCGTTTTCGCTCTGGGTGGAAGGACTGCGATTGCCCGAGAGAGAGTGGCCACCCTGGTTCAGGTTGGCAGCACTGGGCGTGTAGGTGGCGTTGTACCTAGAACGGCGACCGCAGTGTTGGCAGTTCTCCTCCTCGCAGGTCCTCCCCTGGAGTGAAAAAAATCTCAATAAAATTGTGAGAGCATAAAAAAAAACACAAATTCCCACCTGGGGAGTTCTCTCGTCACGTTGGCATCCCTTGTCTTCCCCAAGCCGAGGATGTGAGGCGTTTCTTGCGCCCTGTTGGCAAGCCTCGTCCTCGCACCGGCGCTGCCAACCTAGACCCCGTCTCCTGGGGTCGCCTTCAGCGCACCCTGGCGAGTGATTCCCGCAACAAACGGCGGGATGCTTCCCAACGGCTTGGAATTTCTCTAAGCATGTAGAGCAGGTCTGGTGGGCGTTTCTAGGGACTTGGCAGTGGGGATGACTCTCGTCGTGTTTCTCCTGGTGGCAGCACTGGGCCTCCGACCTCTGCTCCGAGTAATTTGGGGAACAAGCGTGTCTGTTGCCGATATTAGAATTCTGGCAAGATGGCCAGGAGAGACGATTATGGCCGTCGCAGTGGCGGCATCTGTTGGTAGGGGTTTTGAAGGAACAGCTAGGTTGGTACTCCTGGGTGTCGTCTTCCTGCATCCTCTTGTCGGCCCCGAAATCGGTCGACCGGGACCCTCTGGACGAGGTGGAGTCGTTTAGTCTTGGCAAGGTTCTGAGTTTCTTGCTGGTGGAACATGCTAGATGGTTCCCGTTGAAGAATCGGGATCTAGGGGATTTCTGCCAGGGCGAGGTCGTGCTAGTGTCTAGGAACTTTTTCGATGCGTCGCTCTCGCCCTCCTCCTCGAACACGGAGTCCGAGGGTATCTGCGAAAGATATCGAGGAATATGAATTATTACCGGGAGACATTGTGGAATTTGAAATGACTATAAAAAAGATATAGTGTTTTTTGAGGTACCTAGGAAGAGGAACTCACCTCCTTCCCCCAGATGTTAATGGTTCCGTTCACTTCAGACATCCTGACTTCAACGTTGCCCAATAAATAGGGTCCGCACTCTCTGATAGTTCCCTTCTCCACTTTCTTCGGTTCATGAGCTTGTATAAGGAAGCTGCGGTCCTTCGAGTGTTCATCTTCCTGGTAGACGAAGCATTTAACCTCCTCCTCTTGTCCATCGTCCATGCTATCCTCTCTATCCTGCTGCGAAAGGTCTAGTTGACTCGTAGTCTCAGCTACGCTGGAGGTTGCCCTGGGGTTCAGCAAGCCCTTCATCAAGTATTCCCCAGGATGCTTGAATTCCCCATCGGAGTCGAAGCTGGAATTGGTTCTCCTCTTCGAGTCCCCCGCAGTGTGAGGAATCTTCGAAGGTTGAAGGAGACCAGGAACCCCCAACATATCCGTAGCCTTACGCTTCTTAGAGTTGACCGAACCCACCGGACTGGCCAGTTCCTGGACCTTGTCACTTATCGAGGTGACACCTTCCTTCGCCTTCCCCTGAGTAATATCCGACAAAGTCTGGAGAATACGCGAGGAAGTGACAAAAGCACTCGACAATGGCTTCGCAAACTTATTAGGAGTGTCTTCGACAATAGACATGGTGTCATCGTTGTTAAGGATGCGAGTCAAACTAGGTGGCTGGGTGGATATGCTGGGGCTGTAGCTGCTTTCCGACCACAGGTGAGACCTCCCCGTAGAAGCTGTGCTACTGGTGGACATTTTGGGCTCCGTTAATCCATTGGTCTCCGAAGATTTCAATTCAACCTCCGGTGGAGGATCCGAAGGGTCTGTCTGTATCGCCACTACCTTCGTCTCCGGTCGCCTGTGGTCACTTTGGTACTTGGCGAAAGCTCTTTTCATTTCCTCCAGCTCTTTCTTCAGCTCCAAGTTCTCCGACAAGGTCTTCTGGTACACCTCACGTATCCCATTACACTGCGCAGTCTTTTGATCTAACTGCGACCTCAGCACACTAATTTCCCTGTTCTCCTGATTCCTTCGCTCTTCCAATTTCTCCGATATACTCCTCAGCTGCTGCTTCGAGTTCCTTGATTCCGGAAGCTCTCCGGGTTCTTCGTCGGGCACGCAGATACTTGTCACACTTTCGATTTTTAACTGGCACATGTCACTTGTCTCTTCTAGTTCCGGCATGTTAATGTTGTTCTCATGAACCAGGGGTTCGATCTGTTCTTCCAAGCACAGGTTTTCAGGAGCATCGACCTTGTCGTCGGGGACCGAAGCACCTTTCATGTACTCCTCGTAACTAAGAGTCTGCAGATTGATTAGCGTTGACGATTGCTCCTGACCGTTGAATAGACACGGGCCAACTAAAGTTGGAAAATCCTCCGGCTTTTCTGGGTGAGACTCTGAGAAGTGATTCCCCGAGTCGACACCCACTGCTCCGTTAGGTTTTCCGAGACTCTCTTCGGTGCTCTTCATGATCTTCGCTGGTTGTAACGGCTCGATATCCACTTCCATATCTCTCTCTTCATCGGTGTAGTCGTTCTCTACTGTCAACCGTTTCACCGTAATCATTTCCTCCCCATTTTCCATAACATGTATCGAGTTGCTCACTAGATCGTTCCTTATGGTCACCGTTTCATTAGCCAGGTCTTTAAGGGTTATCTCTGCGTAAGGTTTTAGGTTCTTCAGGGTCGCAAAGGTCTTAGTGGTTTCCTCGCTGTTGGGAAAATCTAAAACAAAAATGATCTCTTAAGTGAATTTAATAACAGACTTTGAAATTAATTCTACAGCAGGGAAGCACAGCGAAATAAGGTTATGCCGCTTGACTGACCTTTCTTCTTCGTATCGCTGTAATTCGAGTTTATCGTGCACTCCCTGCCTTTCATTCGTTTCTCCATAGAGCGTCTGTTCTGCTCTTTAATCTCTTGTATGTAAAGTTTTACTTTACTTTGTACATGGCCATACTTCGAGCCAACGGATCGTCTGTCCACAGACTTAACACGCGCCGGCTGGAACTTTGCGAATGGCTTTCTTGGGAAACCGAAATCATTGTATTCCAATGCGTCAACACTGTGCCTCTTGTCGACGTAACGCGCTTGAGAAGTCTCTTTTGAGTGAGAAAGATCTTGCAAAGACCGATACTTCTTCTTGTGAATTTTAGTCAGTCCGTTGCTATGTCTGAGATTCAGATCATCCGAAGCCCTATCGAACGGTTCCGGCTCGATATCTCCATCGCTTTCTTCTTCACTAGCTGACGTCAACGGCTGCTCGTCTTCCACATCTTCATCTTCCTCTTCATCATCCAACTCATCTTCCTGCTCTAGCTCTTCCATTTCTAAAATTATTTTTCCAATCGATGCGAAATATTAAACGCTACAAGCATTACTCCATCGTCGTAGAAATTAATTCAAACGGTGAACAATAAGCAACGAAGTTAACTCAAACAACCTATATGCTTGACTAATCTCCACGATCATTACTTTATTATTATTACCAATGCTTCCATTAATACAAACAATTAATTCAAATCCATCGCTTACGTTAATACAAAAAATTAATTCAAACGGCGAACACTGATCGACGAAGTTAACCCAACAACCTATACGCTCGATTAATCGTCTCCACGATCATTCCTTTATTTCTATTACGATAGTCATTACCTTCCGTGTCATAGTCCTCGTCTTCCGGATAAGGTGGTCGATCGGTCTCCTCCCCCGAGGAGACGACGTAGACACTATCGTCTCCACCCTGTTCATCGCTCCGACAAGGACTCGGACTAGGATCCTCCTTGCCCACCTCGGAGAGGTGCTGCCTGCGCTCTCCGATGGTATCCTCCATCCTGGAGGGACTGGAAACGCTAATATACGTAGGCATCTCCTCGTCCTCGAGCATCGACATGTCGGTTTCCGTCATCCTGGAGTCGGCTTCGCAACGGCGCGCACCAGGGATCTCCTCGTAGGGTTCGTTCCCGGCGTCCTGAGTACTCGTCTCGTTTGCGTCCGACATGGGGACGAGCTTAAGAGGTTAGGAAGAGCGCAAAGCAGTCTTTACTCACGGGGACCTGGGTCCGCGGTCTCTCCTCGGCACCCTGGCTCTATTTCTCCAGATTCCGCGACTGGCGCGACTCGGCGCGTCACAGGCGGTCTCGGCCAATCTTGCCTTCCTCCATTTTAATAATTTTACGGCTATCTACGTGTTGCCAACCCTCTGGACATCCCAATTTTTATTTCTTCTTCGGAACCGGGCTCGCTGTCGCGCGAAATGGCGTTCATGCAATCCAAGATGGCGGACTTGCCAATCCGGCGCTTCTGATTGGTCGATTCCCCTGGACCGCGGCACGCCATTGGCTGGCGACTAGGGAGTCGCAAATGGAAACGAGTGCCGGCTATTTAGATTCAGAATGATTTTGGGGAATTTCTTCAAGCATGGGAAGAGATGAGATGAGAGATCGCATCTTGTTCTGTCTTCGTTAAAATTCAAAACGTATTACGCAATACAATTGTCCAAAATTGTAACGTCCAACCATGCAGACTGATCCGGGGCCGCAATGCTGGTCGAATCCGGCTCTCTGATTGGTCGAGACCGAGCCGCGATTTGATTGGTCCAAAGTCACGTGACAACCTCGCAGTAACGCCCCACCAGGCGACCCCTTCCATGCCCCAACTTGATGAGCAGCGGAGGGGAGGGGGATGGAGAAGGGAACATTAAAAATAACAAATAAATTAAATTAAACAATAAGTTACTAAAAGTTAAGAGTATTAATGGTACATTGATCTAGTTAAATTTACTGGAGGGGGTTCATTGCATTTTTAAGCTGAATGGGCTTAATGAGCGCAATTAATAATTAATCCCCTGTGAATAAAATATTTTATTGCGCTCTAGGTTTTCAGGATTGGATATGAAGATTTTGTCTAGTTGAGGTTAATTTCGAGCTTCTCTTAAATTGGGTAACTGTAATTCTGTTTTTTTTTTATCTGACGACGGAAGAAATAGGAGGGACATTTTTAACATTCGGGGGTTGTAGTAAAGATTACAGATGTACAAAAATATACAGTAAATGATTTGCATTATGTATAGGCTACTGGTTCGGCTATATATTAAATAGATTTGATAGGACATCTCGCTATAATACTTGTAAATTACAGACCATTGCGTTAGGCTCGATAGTTATAATTCCGAGAGCGTTTACTACGTTACTGCGCATCGCTAAGTCTCTTTTCATCTCATCTCCGGTGATACAACGGCGGAGAAGGAATTAATTATTCTCGGTTTACCGTAACTGCTTTCTCGGATGTTATTTCCTAATTAATTTCCTGGTAGAGGTTATGATTCGGCGAAGGGCCTTGAATACGGTCTTACCGTTGTAAATTGAACGATAAACTGTGGATGGTTTTCTTAAATCCTTGTCCGCTTGGTTGTATCATGAGTAAGATTAATCCATTTGGTAGTGCGTGCTCTAAGGTTTGGGTCGAACCTTAGCCGATGATTTTCAGCATGGTTTTATTCAACGTATCGTACACTGAAAGCCGTAAACAAATAACGAATAATGATAAAAACATCCAACCATAGGGGCAACGTTACTTCGTATGGGTCGCAGGAGTCCTATGTGACGATTCCGAGAGTTTTCCTTACGAGTTTCTGGGCCACCCTTTCAAACTCTGCCCGGTCTTCTCTCCACATTTTTGCTGCGTCCACGTTAGCTCCGCTTTCGTCATTTGGCTCGGCTAGCATACTTACTACGCTCAATAAGATTTTCTCCACGCTCTGCACGGGACTCCACCTCTCCGCGCTACTTTCATAGCCCATCGGATCATCCCCAGGAGCATGTAGGATACTGATGCACACTCTCCCATCGGCATATACTACAGAATAATTCCAAATAAACTTCTACGCATTTGGCAAAAATACCAAAGTCCTTAAAGTCTCGCACCGGCAATAACGGAAACTAAACTTGGAATAAGGATTGCAACGTCCCCTTGTGACGATGGAAATATCTCTTTTAGGTTAAATCGTGACGTTTCACACGAGACTCTGACTTTTAAAAAAGTATAAATCCTATCAAGGCAGTGCTTACTGTTCGGATGAAACATCTCGCAGGTGAACTGCATTTTTGGAGGGCTCAGCGGATAATCAGGAGGAAATATCAACTTGGCGGGAAACACTCCGCCCTCGAAGCACGTCCCTTCGGGCCCCCTAAAGAAAATGAAGCCATGAAGAAACTTTTATATCAATCGACAATATCAAAGCAACCATTCATTCCGTCAATGATTAGTTACACGTGAAACAATAATATACATTTACAAATTGCTGTGTCTAAACCGATACAGCATACGCTACCTAATTGTACGTTAACGAACTAAAGCATGAAGGCGGAAAACCTACGTAATTAATGCTTCCCATTCGAAGAAATTTTCTTCATTAATCGGTCCAGCCACAATACCTTCCGGTGGGTTTAGAGTTAACTCTGAAACATCGATACCCAGTTATATTACTCAACAGCTCTGTGACGATGAAATTAATGTTACATGTAAAGGATGCATAAATTACAAATTATTAATTAGGGGTTAAAAGAATCGAGCCTCACGTTTATATTCGGCCATTAAACGTCTGAGCGCTGACCCTGCCATAGTTTCCGTCTATTTTCCCTGTTTTCCTATCTAAACGAATCGAACACCATCACCAATCGTCATTGAGTACAAGCAGCATGAGTTGGGAGTCTCCATGGCAATTTCGATCGACCATTGCACCAAAAGTAAATATTTTGGCCACCAGGGGGTCTATTACGTAAAGCAAATTGAGCGAAAATGTGAAAATGAGGAGCTCACGGTATTACGGAACGTTTTTAGTGAAAAAGAATGGTAAAAAATGCTTAGATCCTGCTCGCTGTTACTCATATTGAGATTTTAAATGGTCCGCCGCTCCGCCATATTGGATTTTAGTTCCTGCACTTCGGGGACAATGATAGGTGGCGCTTCGATCTAGGGTTCCAGCTCTACACGGAAGGGTGTATTTCCTCTCGTATACGCGGGAAAAGTGTTCTTGGTTAGGTTTCACGAGACGCACGTTTGATACAATTTCCGATTAAGGAATTCACTTGAAAAGTTTATTGTTACACTATACAATGGATTCTTATATGGAAATACTCTCTGGATATGTCTACGACGAGGACAAATTGGTAAGCTGTTAATGAGTATTATAAATAATTGCCGGCATTTAATTCCATCTCTCGAGGTTATGTCATTTAAGGAACTTATGTATAAGCAAATTATAATTTATAAATTTTATCCTTTTGATAATCTTGGATATATTTATAGGGGAATTGATTTTATTTTATTTGTGGGAATTTATGATCCTAGGTAACCTACAAATGGCTGAGCAAGGAATTGGAGGTTCACGTGAACATTGCGAAGCAAATTCTCTGGTCATTTCGAGAGAAGCATAAAGATCGAGGTGACATAGAATCTACTTTTATGTTAATGGGAAATCTCAGCGACGGCAGTATGCGGGTAGAAGTCGTGGGGGAAGCCAGTCGAGAACGGGAAAAGGAGAAGTTCACGACTCTCATATGCGAGCACATGTACAGCGTGCAGAAATCGTTACCTGATATACAATTGTTATGTATTGCGGGGGAAGGGGACTGCCGATTTAGTGCGATTAAATGTTCGGAAAGTGGTCTTTTAAGTGACGAAGAATACCAGAAGTTGATGTGGGGTGACCTATATAAAAATGTCCCGCAAATAAAAAATGATCAGCCAAAGAAATCGACGGACAAAACACTGTCTGCCTCTTTGTTCGCAGAAACGGATGGTAAGGAATTGTTTCGGTGTTAATTTTCAAAGCGATTTTTATTCGGTAAGGAAATAGATATAACGTTGTTGCATTTATAGGACCGGAGTCCAGCGACGGGAAGGAGCCTATTTCTAACATGCCAAAGAAGTCGACTAAGGCACAACAAGATACGAACCCCCTTTCCAAACCTGAAAATCAACAGAAGCATCTGACTTCACCTTCAAATACTGTTGCGAGTAGTAAAACGGAACAGGCGAAGAAGACTTCTCCTGGCACTATAAAGAAATCGTCTACGAAAGGTGGAAAGGCAACTCTGCCCGTTAAAACTGGGCCGATAAATAGCTTTTTCAGGAAAGCTACCCAGAAACAAGAGACGCAGTCTACGATTGCAAGTATTTCCAAAGCGAAGAATGAGATCGTGAAACCTGTCGAAGATGCTGCCTGCGATGCTATACCGAATAAAGATATCTCTCCGAAACCAAGCAAGCCCATCCTGGAAGAGAGCAAAGAGCAGAAGAAAGTGAAAGAATCCAAAGAGAGTAAACCTAAACAAAAGAAGTATCGTGGGACCAAAAGGAACCGTAGTCAGGAAAGCAGCGATGCAGCCAAGAAGCGAAAGCGAATCATTGCTGCTCCTGTTTCAAGCGAAGAGTCTGCCACCAGCGAGGACGAAGGAGAACCTTCTCCAGGATTCCAGGAAGTACTGCCTTCACCTCCGCAAGAGGTTCCTTCGTCTCCACCAGAGGTTCTCAGAATAGCAGGTAGAGCTACCGTTCGTAGAATAGTTGACACAACGTATGTCGACGAGGATGGCTTCCTTGTTACCGAGAAGGTCACTGTCCACGAGGTATGTTCAGACCAGGAAGACATTACACCAGAACCAGCGAAGAAGGAACCCACTCCGTCCCCTGTACAAGCGAAAGGAAAAAAGAATGCGAAGAACTCGAAGAACAGTACTTCGAAGACGAAACAAAGTACTCTGACCAGTTTCTTTAAACCATCGTAAGGGGAATTTGTTTTTTCTTTAAATCTCTACTATCTTATTTTTTTTTATTGATTGCATTTTGTTTTTGGATGAATGTTATATTAAGGGGTTCGATCGATGAGTTTGAGTTAACTACTTTGTTATATCTTCAAGTGTAACGATAAGCAGAGTGGCTGGTAATATCCATTTGTGTACCGAGGGAACACGCGAGGAGAAGCATGAGTTTGCTCCATCCCTTAACGTTATTACCAGCCACACCCTGGTGCACCCCTGGTCATCAACCCCGACATATTTATAGCACACGCGATAGGCCAGTCAAGGGTAGAATTCGACATCCTCTCCTGTCTACAAAGCGAATCATTCATTTTAAGTGAATTTCCTTATGGGCGCCATCTTGGAGAAAAAGAAGAAATTAAACCTCCCAATCACCCTAAGAGAAAAACAGCTGATAAACTTAATTCACAAGGAAAGGAACAAAAGAAACTCGGTAGAGTTTCGAGCCAAATGCATTTTTCAGCGAGGAACTCGTAGCGTTGAGCGATGCGATGCATTATAGAGAAAAATTGTATAAAAATTGATTAATGAGCGGAGGTTAACCCTTTACGGCGCGGGATTTTAGGAAATACAAAGGCCTACGTTGAAAGGAAATTTTATTTCTTTTTAAATTGGATATTCAGGTATTAGAAAGGTGGGACGATTTTAATTAGAATGTGCCTTAAAAGGGTAAATGATTATGCTGGCGATGGATCCGCGGTTTAGCGCCAGTGGCGCCATTTTGCGGTGGCGGCTACGCGGGGAACTAAAGCGGAGGAAGAGAAGGAAGAAGAGTGCCCCCGTGTCTCGCATACATATTCATCGGCACTTTCCTGGCGTCCGTATATTTATTTTCACTTCCTACTTCCAAGGCGTGGGTCGCGAGGTTATTAGAGAGTTTTATTTGCCAGCAGAGGCTCTCGGATACCCGGCAGTCGTTTCGCAACGCGTGGAGATTGCGTTTTTATATTCGACAGGATTTAAGGTGATATTTATATCGAGCGTCGATAGTCCGTATGAGTTAATTAGTAGTATAAGATTAGTATTTTTTTTAACTGATTAAGTCAGGGCTAAGGAAAAACCCGACGTCCTTCCCACGCGTACCGAAGGGCCTTAACAATCCACGAAAGGTGGGCAATGAACTTGAGCAAGGGCATTCTTAAAAGGGTCTTTTCCAGAGTTTCCGTCGAAGACATGGGACGATTTTTGGTGAACACATTTTTTGACCTTCCAAAAAATTCAGAAAAATTTATATGGCGACTAGTCGTCGCTCTAGGGTTTTTTTTTTTTTTAATCCGTGGCCTACATGACCTCCAAAAGGGTTTTTCGAGAGTTTCCGTCGAAGACATGGGACGATTTTTGATGAACACATTTTTTGACCTTCCAAAAAATTCCCAAAAATTTATATGGCGATTAGTCGTCGCTCTAGGGTTTTTTTTTTTTTTAATCCGTGGCCTACATGACCCCCAAAAGGGTTTTTCCGAGAGTTTCCGTCGAAGACATGGGACGACTTGTGGTGAACACATTTTTTTGGCTTTCCAAAAAATTCCCAAAAATTCCTATGGCAACTAGTCGTCGTTCTAGGGTTTTTTTTTTTGTAAATCCGTGGCCTACATTACCCCCAAATGGGTTTTTCGATAGTTTCCGTCGAAGACATGGGACGATTTTTGGTGAACACATTTTTTTGGCTTTCCAAAAAATTCTGAAAAATTCCAATGGCGATTAGTCGTCGCTCTAGGGTTTTTTTTTTGTAAATCCGCGGCCTACATTACCCCCAAAAGGGTTTTTCGAGAGTTTCCGTCGAAGACATGGGACGACTTGTGGTGAACACATTTTTTTGGCTTTCCAAAAAATTCCGAAAAAATTCTATGGCGACCAGACGTCGCTCTAGGGTTTTTTATGTGCATCCGCGACCTCCGTGACCGGCCATTTCACTAGTGCCTGCGAGGGCAGAAACCCTGAACCTTCGAGAATTTTCCCTGCCAATGAGAATGCTCGACTAAAATCTGACTTCCTCCCTCCACCGAGCCTTTCAGCGTCAACAATATAAATACCAAAAAACCGAAATATTTCTGAAACTTCTCTCCAAACCGGGTACATCAAATTACCTAAGACATCAACACCCGATTGTGGAGGCTCTAAGGGGAGAGCCCGCTCCCCGTGAGATTTCATTTAATTTCACGAAGTTTCTTTGCCGAACCGCCGGCCATTACTCTTGCCGTGGGTTTTAATAAAAAAAAAAAAAACTGTAAAACGGGTTTGTTAACGTCGCATGGAGAACCGAAGTCGGCGCGCCGTTCTCGGGGATATGACTGTCTCGGAGATGTCGGACTAATGATTACGAGTATCCTAACGTTATCGCGACCTGAGGGGCCGCCACGGTGTTCTTCGGGTTCCTCTTCTCGAAGAAGCTCCGTGGGAGGGTTCGCGATCCGAGGACCGTTGTCGCGTGGGCCTGTATCCTGTACCTCCTCCATTTGTCCAGGTATTTGTATCGTTTATTGCCGACCTGGACGTTAAGGTGATCTGAAAGGGTGATATATACCTACGGAAACATCAAAGTGTCTATGAAACTTTTCCCCAAACTGGGCACACCGAATTATATTAAACATTAACACGTAGCCAGGCTCTGCTCGTGGGATTTCATTTTTCGAAATGAAAAAAAAAAAAACAAAGGCTCTTCGTTCTTGTCCGAGATAAATGGAACGTTTCCTCCGGAAAAATCACACTTCACGATCTGCGCAATTCTTAGAGCGACTTTAAGGATACTTTCTTAACGCAAAAACGTTTAATTGCTCATTATTCGGCGGACTGTGAATCATATTCTTCTCGAATTAATTTATTAAATCCATCATACGGGTAAATTCAAGGGAGAGGCACTTCGCTTCCGCACTTAAACCGTGAAGAGAGCAATTAAACGTAACGAGCTGCGAATCACGGCCCACCTTTTTTTAAACAATACCTGGCAATTTGCAGTCGATATAGGAGACTTCGTCGCGTTTATTCAACGTGCGTGCAATTTCCGGGGCCACTAATAGAAGGATTGTGTTCAGGGATTTACAGGCGGGCATGAGTACAGCGCCAAGTACATATGCGCACTTAGAAAGAGAATTCACAGTCGTGAATTCTTTAAAAAAATGTGTATACTTGAAAAATGGGCCTGAAGAACGCGATGGTCGGGAGATTTCATTTTTCAATATGAAATTGCATCTTCGCATCACCCTAGGAGGATACGAAAGGCGCTAAGAAATTTAATAAATTAATTATCGATGAATAATTAAATTTCATGGGTTTAGGGACATATTTTAGGGCCTCTACATCCACGTGGGGAAATTTGAAACGAATCGAAACAAGGCGATTCTATTCCAGATTTAATTTTTCAATATAGAAACGCACCTTCGCATCACCCTAGGAGGACACGAAAGGCGCTAAGAAATTTAATAAATTAATTTTCAATGAAATATGAAATTTCATGAGCTTAGGGACCTACTTTAGGGCCTCTACATCCACGTGGGGAAATTTGAAGCGAATCGAAACAAGGCGATTCTTTGTTGTTCGGACGAGAGAGCGGCGTAAATGCGTACGAATGCGTACGTATACGTAAGTATATGTACGTATACGTACGTATGCCTACGTACTCTCCCGGACAGTGATCAATATTTAGCACAGGACAATGCCGGACTTCGCGTACCAAAGCTATGTCATTGGCGCGATTGTTACGTAACGCGGTATTACGTAAATGTTAAACCCAGGATCACGCCGTCAGCTCCAGCGACAGTGCTGGGGAAATTCCCCCAGAGTCTCCCTAGCGCTTGATCAAAGGAGAACGCGCGTTGCTCCTGAAAATGATTCCTGGGAAACGAGGGAAATTGAAAAAAAAAAATGAGGTTTTAATTGATGGGACGTCATACAGGCATATAAATGAAAATCCCGGAAATGGACTGAAAGGGTTGGGGAATTTTGCGAAGGCCTTAAAAGTTCCCGAAGTTCTTCGCTTTGCCAGAGTCGGCCTTCGATGCGGATGCGGATGGATGCGGTGGTTAGTCCGATTGTCCGGTCGTGGATTTTTATTTTTTATTTTTCTTTACCGTTGAAAAAGGAGGGGAAAAAGATCGGCCTCGCTTCTTGCGCGACATCTGGTACCCCGGATAAAAAGTGCGCGCACACCGGATGTGAAGTCGCGCTCCTCTAAGAGTTTGCGATGACTCATCGGCTGAGATTTCTTCCTTTTTCTTCTGCGTCCTCGTCGTCGCATCTTCGGGTAGAGTATAACATGGAAGAAGGACGCTTTCTTGGCGGCGAAGGAGGTCCTGGGAGAAGGATGCGCGGCTATAAAGGGGACGTATTTCGCGGTCTTCGGGAAAGACGCGGCGGCCATCTTGGTTCCCGTGTCTTCGGTCTTAGAGACTAAAGAAAAGCTGGAAATGGCTAACTTTATCCCCCCCTGAAAAAAAAACCAAGAATAGGATCGCGAGGAACATCCTTGACAAAAGTCCTATACTAAGTCTCTGTAAAATAATTACTGGAGTCATGTGTGCCCATAATTATGAAAGTGGTCTAAGTCAAAATTGAAAAAGTTATTTCACGCCACATTATTTCAAACGAAATTAATTCAATGTAATTTCGAAACAAAAAATATATGACTTAGGACGTTCATAATTATGGGCACATATCACAGTACCAAATAAGTACGTCACTTAGCTCTTTGAGGATCGCAGGTAAACCACAGGTAGAAGCAATTATTTGCAATTATCCATTATAGAAAAGCTGGAAATGGCTAACTTTATCCCCCCCTGAAAAAAAAACCAAGAATAGGATCGCGAGGAACATCCTTGACAAAAGTCCTATACTAAGTATCTGCAAAATAATTACTGGAGTCATGTGTGCCCATAATTATGAAAGTGGTCTAAGACAAAATTGAAAAAAAAAAATGAGTATCAATTATTTCACGCCACATTATTTCAAACGAAATTAATTCAATGTAATTTCGAAACAAAAAATGTATGACTTGGTCTGGATAATTTCAAGGGTTACCGATGGAGAGTTCAATGCCTGAAAGCAGATGGCGGATTGAGTAATCGAAGGTGGAGGCGCTATCCTTTTTTTAGCTGCTTCCCAGAGAGATTCTGGGACCCTGTACTTGTTGTAAAGTCAGGAAAGTGATTGCCGATTCGAGTCTTACTATTTTCAATTAAAAGTTGACCGGGATGCCGTGGAAATATTCGGAAAAAAAAAAAATGTCTACAAGGTAAACCTCGTGGGAAGTTCCGAGGGGATCGATTCCGGTACTGAACGGGTGCGGTTTATCAATGTTAATAATCGGCCGTAAAAATGCGTAAACTGTTAAGCGAGGTCGGAGGTCATTAAAGTTAATTCCCGAAGCTCATAAAGCCTTTCGACGGACGCTCGGAATTATCTAATAATAATTCCCAGGGCTTTGTTCATTCGGTCGTCGGTATTTCTTCCATCAGCTCTAGTAGCACAAAATCCTATATTTTCTACATTAACAAAAAAATAAGTACAACAAACCTTCTGAAGTAGCAGTAGTAATCGGTTTATTTTTACAAAAAAAAAGAAAGACCTAAAAATCATTTTTCACGTTCAACCTGCTAAAGTTATGAAAAAAAAATAATGTATTTTTATTACGTGTTCATAAATTAAGAAATATAACTTCTATACGTGTTTATAAATTATTTAAATGTGTCATTGAGATTTTCAAGAAATATTTAGAAATTATTCTACATCACTGGGGAGAGATTTCTTTCTTCGCGTTGCGACGTTTCGCCTGCGAGAACATAAATTAATGTAAATTCGGAACTTTGTACATTGTTTTTTATTGAACATTCAAGGTTTGGGGGGGAAAATGCTTTTGTGGAATACCTCGAGGAGCTTTTCGTTGAAAAATTCTTCTCTTCAACCCTGGGAACCAAGATGGCGTCGTAGCCGCCATCTTGACTTCCCGGAGAAGAAGTTAACGTCTAGGAATGACGAGTATGGTTGTGATATTATCGACGAATCCCTTTGAAAGCCAAGATCGTCGTCAAGAGTTTAACACGAGCCGGTCGTAATCCATTACGACCTCGGCCGGTTACCTTTACCTGTCCCGTGGGGTCCCTAGAGGCCCTAGGGTTATTCCCTAGGTCCCCCATGGCCCTCAAATGATCGTTAACGGCCCACACCAGGGAATGGATCACTAACATGGATTATGGCACCCCAAGAAGGCTCGATGACTTTTCAGCTTAGCTATTTCTTCCCCTTCTCCTTTTTTTATATCTTCCCCCTCTTAAATCCATCGTAAAGTGAAATAACCCCGTGAGCAAATATTTCCAGAATAATTTAAAAAAGGGGGAAAAAAATACTCTTAGGACATAAGGTTGCAGTAAAATGATGAACTTGATATTCGAAGGGTGAACTTCCCTTTATCGAGGTCGATTAAATTTCTTACCGCCTTTCGTATCCCCTTAATTTGGATGTCACTAGACTTTTTTGATAGACCGAGGACCGCCTCGAGGAATTCTCCTCCAAGGTCTTCTTCGGCGGCAACAACGGACGCGGTAAAGCGGCGTCGAGAACGATCGTAAAGATCGTCGCTCGAAGAGCCCGGTGTATGCCGAGAGGGTAAAAAAAATTGAAAAAAGGAAGAAAAATGCCGAGCAGTCTGTTCACTCCGTGCCGACACGAGTCTCTCGAGCCGTGTCGGCCCTCGATGAATCCTCCTCCACGGTCAAGGTCGCCGTCTGCTGCACAACCTTTCCACCCAGGACCCTGACCTCCGATTTATCGATTAAATACCCTCGATTCCTCGGAACAATCGTCCGGTATCGGGATCGAAAGGAGTTTCAAGCGATATTGAATTAACCTTTTGGCTACTAAGAGCGCGCAAAGGTGGCCGGCGTTTGGTCGAATATCCCATGCACGGTCAGGGGAATCTCGCCCTTACGTCGAAATGCCTCCGGTTAAGGTGATGTGAAATGGTCATTCTATGTAAATAAAGCGTAAGAGTAGTGATTGAACGTTTCTCAACGTGTTTCACGTCACCTTAACCCTTTGGCTACTAAGAGCGCCTGACGTTTGGTCGAATATCCCCTGCACGGTCAGGGGAATTTCGCCCTTACGTCGAAGGTGTGAGACCCGGCGTGCTCTCGAGGACGCTGGACACGCCTACGAGTTCCTCGGCTTTGGCTTCCGCCGTCGTCCCTTCGGGTCCCTTCGGGTCCCTTCGGGCCCCGTCGGGCCCCGTCGGCGCTCGGATCGGCCGGTCGACGTTCGGCGCGGCGCGTCCGTCAGTCGTCCCTCGGCAGCGAACGCGTACGGAGCTCCCGGGAGCGCCAGTCGGTCGGCACGCGTCGCGCCTCGCCGATCCCCCGCAGTTCGGTCGCGTTCGGTAGCGCTCGGCCGTTTCCGTTAGCGCTCGGCCCGGGCTGCCGAACTTCGTAACCTCGCACGTGCGCGGCCGCCCTTCCGGTCGGGAGTTCGCAGTGCAGTGTCCGACGCCGACCGGTCGCCGAGGCTCTCTCTCCCGACGGGACATTCGAGGTTAGGTGAGATATGCAGTTTGTCGAAGGCGGATTTTTTAACCGCGTCTACCGCGGGGTATCGACTACCACCCTCAGGGCACTCGTATGTCTGGGGTTATAGGGTCAGCAGTTAATTCAGACACTAGGTGTCCATTAGGGTTAAGAATAGAACCTAGCGTGATTAAGGCGAACTAAAATCCCGACTCCATTGTTCGAAAGTCCAACGGAATGTTCTGGGATTTCGTTAACGCGGTAAGTCGGGATTTTAGTTCCTTGCGCGTGGTTTTACGGCCTGGTTTACACCGGGAGCTTGGTACGTGGTTTAAGGTGATTCGCAAAAATCGCTATATGCATGTAACGCCTGGAAATATGTATAAAACTATTTTTCTCGAGGAGATAATTAACTGGCGATTTTAATCCACGGTTAATCTGGTTGTCCTGGCATTGCGGATTTCATTATTTTTGAATTAACTAATCATTGGTAAAAAAAATATTTAAATGGTAACCACGGATTAAGGGGATATAAAAGGATTATTATATGCATTGTTACGCCTGAAAATATTTATAAAACTTCTTCTCGAGGAGTTAACTTACTGACGATTTTAATCCACGGTTAATCTGGTTCTTCTCCTGACAATGCGAATTTCATTGTTTTCGTATTAACTAATCATTGATTAACAAAATATTTAAAGGGTAATCCCGGTCATCTATCCATACCGAGTAATCATCTACACCTAGGGTTTAGGCCACACAATTTCCCTGTTATAGGATTAACTAATCATCGATTAAAAAAAAACATTATAAGGTAATCACGGTCATCTACGCACATCGAGTCACCGTTTACCCCGAGGGTTTAAGTCGAATAATTTCCCTGTTTTGAGAATCAACTAATTGGTTAAGGAATGAAATGAACACTTTCATTTCGATCGGGGTTTATCGATATAAATCGATACCCGGAGCGTCGGGAGAGCTTGCCGACGGAGTGCGACCTCGCGTACTTGTCGCGATACTCTACCGAGTCACGTGACGCAGGGACGGGGATTATGACGTCATGCCCGGTGACCATCGAGGAGGAAATGGCTCTTCGAGGTGTAACCCGTGACCCGGTAGAAATATTAATCCTTCCTCCTCGATCGATCCCCGAGTTTCGACCGCTCGCCCCGAAGATGGCGCCAAGTGATAAAATAACGTGGATTAAATAACAATCAACATGGCGTACGTCCTGTGGCGGGTCTTCATGAAGAAGTACTCCAAGGTGCGGCTGGGCATCAGGAATCTACCGGTGAGTCTCTTCTCGACGATCTCGGCTCCGACAACCTGGAACCCTGTTATCCAGGATATTTAACAGGCTTCCCGATTGTGCCATATTATTATTTACTTAATAAGAAAACCATAGCCGCTAAGAATAATAATTAAGAAATGCCGAGAATGGTCATTCAAACGTTTTCGAGGTCCTGGGAGACTCTGGATTTATCCTTTGGCTGCTAAGAGCGCCTAAAGGCGTCCGACGTTTGGTCGAATATCCCCTGCACGGTCAGGGGAATTTCGCCCGTATGTCGGAATGGCTCCGAGTAGGAAAACACTTCTTTGGTACAATGAAACCCTTTTTTCGTTCCTCGGAGGCTTGCCCTTGGAAATTCCTGGGTGGAGGGATGTTACCGGTCATTTGATCGTCTCCTTTTACGCCTTTATGCCGCGCATGCGCCTACGAAGTGGCGCCTCAGCGAGAAAGAGAGAAAAGGAGCGTCGATGTGCGGCCGCAATTATCCAATTACCGGTCGCATTAACTCTAGTTACGGTCTAATAATTACACCGCGGCGGAATGCATCGACCTTCGGGCTACGTGTGCGGCCAAATTACTCAGACGGGGTGAGTGCGCCGCCCCAAGTACGCCAAGTACACTGCCATTCATCGGTGGTTACCTCGCGGACCTACTGCCCTCTCCGGCCGGGCGGCGAACTAATGGCGGGAGTAGCGTGGAATTTGAATCGCCCGAGGGGAAAAATGGATTTCCTAAAGAAAATAAATAATGAAAATTATTTAAGTGGTCCCTAAGTCACTTAAGGTGAAGTGAGACACCCTTCAAGTCAGTCGATTCGAATACAACACCTTTCCTTTAAGGGTGTCGGGCCAAAATGTCCGAAACTCACGTTAAGTGACTTGGCGAGGTCTTCTTTTACGCGGTGTTCTCGTTGGGGATTTGGCTTTTGTGGGAAATAAATCCCACGTGCGAATAGGTATCGCGGCTTTCCCTCGGATTCCTGCCGATCCTCCGGGAATATAAAAAGACATACGGAAAGCCGCGATCTCGTGAGAAAAGCCTGTAAAGGAAGAGTCGATTCCGCGATTCTTCGAGGCTTTCCGCGGCCATTTATAAGGGGAAACTTTTCCGCGAGGAAATCCGTGGGATCGGGAGGTGCGTCTAGCTATCATAATTCACGATTTCTGAATAAAGAGGAGTGACGTGCTAATTGTGTGCTAATTTTCCGCTGAATTAATTCATTTTCTACGCCCCACCATTCCTCCGAGACTTCGAACTTCAGGGTGGCCGTGCTGGCTTGACGTCGAGGCGCTGTTCACTTCTTAAACAATACAGATAGTTAAAAACAAGTACACCAAATTAAAGGGGAAATTATGCGCTAAATTTGTGCTGTAATGGTTTTTTTTCACTACACCGACCATCTTCTCTAAAAACTCGATTTTTATTCCGGGCGTGCTGGCTCGCTCCGATGGGACAAACGGGCGATTGTGTCGCGTTAATTCTCTAAGTAATTCGTAACAGTCCGTTCGTGTAAACGGGGCCAATGACGGTAAATGAAATCAAGTCGCGGCCCTCTTATGTGCCGGAAGTGCCGGGGCATTTGGAGCCGGATACATAAGTAAAAAGTTTAATTGCAATTGGCCGAGAATGGCCATTGTCTTCCGTCTCGTCGGCGCAAGATGTATTTACGCCTCCGTGTATGTTCTTTAACCAAAGTGGACTTGTACCGTTAAAACCACGATAATTCCGATTTTAATTCGTCTTAAGGTGATACGAAATGGTCATTCTATATAAATAAATCGTAAAAGTACTGATAAAATTTTTCTCAACGTGTTTCACGCCACCTTAACCCTTTGGCTACTAGAGCGCCTGAAGGCGCCCGACGTTTGGTCCAATATCGCCTGCACGGTCAGGGGAATTTCGCCCATACGTCGAAGTGGCTCCGTGTACAAAGGGTTAAGGCCTCCTCCGAGTGTGTGCCGGGTAGATGCAACCGGACGTAACGCTCATTGCGTACGAAATAACGAGGTTTAATATCGTCGGCCGATCGTACCGATATGAGGAAACGCTCAGGGAATTTCGCCGCCATTTTCGAAGGAGCCTCTCGCCACATCCTCCGATTTCTATCTGCTCCTTGTCGCCGACTTCCTTATTGCCTCGTTTTAAGGCCGCCGACTTTTCAACGACTTTGCCCGTGGGAATTCCACGGGAAGGAAAATATGTCGATGAAAATCCCTTTTTTCTTTGAAAAAAGATAAAGAAAAATCGGCGATTTTACTTTATCTTTGGGAGTCCCAGTTTGAGAGGGCTTTTCGAAAAATGGAGCGGATATAGGGACGTGGCGATCGTCAGATGACGTGTAGTGACGTCTTAAAGTAGTTAAAAAAGGCCAATTGAAACCTAATTACCTAGTTTCCTGGGGAATATACTCACGGCGATTTACCGTCGAGACATTCGAGACGGAGCTTCGCTCTCTCGCAGATGGATGTCGCCACGCGCCTGCAAATGGCGCGTTTACATCCTCCCCGAAAACCAACTAGGTTTAAACAGTGATATATTTCTTAAACATTTGACAATACCGATATTTCTTGCATATTACGCCGATTGCGAATTACCCTGAGCTTTCCTTTAGTACGGTACAAACGGTGCGCACCCATTTTTCAAGGTAAAGTGTAACACGTCGAGAAGTTTGACCGACGTCGGTAAAACAGGTTACTTAGGTCCTTATTGGTATCGACAGCCGTGACGAATTGTTACATTTATGTTTACGTTGGTCTTTTACGGTCTACGTTGAGAATTGTACGAACCGAAGGGTTCCATATGTAATTTCGGTAAAGTAATGCAGCCTTTCGATGCTGCGTGCGGAACCTCATTACGCATGCGCGGCCCGCCACGTCCGATAATTCGCTCAGTGCGCCGACCAACCTCACCCTCGCGGGTTAACCGGGTTCACCGAGTCCCCGTGGAAGGCTACCGCGCTGGACGCGCAGCGAGGAGGCCCTGGACACGGGACCGCGAAGGGTGGCGGGTCAGTCGATATCGCGCCGCCGGAGCGAGCGGGTCGCCCTAACCTCTCCCTCCCCGCGGGACCCGATCGATCGCCGGCCGGACCACGGGACTCCGCGAGGAAGAGCGAGCGCGATACCTGGGGAGAGGTTAGAATCGATAGGGTGCTGTCCGCGAGGAATGGGGAGCGGCGGGAGGGTATGCTAGGTGGTCGGCAAAGGGGACTCCGGGTGTTAGGTGGGTGGGTGGAGGTGGTTTCTATCGAGGGACTCCTCGGGGATGCTCTAGAGAAGGAATCTAGGTGTTTGGTGGGAGGCTGGAGGTGGTTCCTATCGAGGGACTCCTTGGAGATGCTTTAGAAAAGGGGTCTAGGTGTTTGGTGGGAGGCTGGAGGTGGTTCCTATCGAGGGACTCCTCGGGGATGCTCTAGAGGTGTTTGGTGGGAGGCTGGAGGTGGTTCCTATCGAGGGACTCCTCGGGGATGCTCTAGAAAAGGACTCCAGGTGTTTGCTAGGAGGCTGGAGGTGGTTCCTATCGACGGACTCCTCGGGGATGCTCTAGAATAGGACTCCAGGTGTTAAGTGGAAGGCTGGATGTGGTTCCTATCGAGGGACTCCAGGTGTTAGGTGTGAAGTTGGAGGTGGTTCCTAAGTACTCCTCGGGAATGCGCGGTGACTCTGCTGACGCAGGTGTGGCCGGGAGGTAGATGTCCTTCCGGTCGCTCGCCGAGAGACCCGGTCTCTCGAACTCGGCGCGCCCGGGGTCTAGTAGTCAGGCTGGTTCACCGACCCGGGATATGTTGGGCGAGCCGGGACTCGAATCGATAGGCGAATCGGGAGGATGGGGTTACTCCGGGGGATGCGAGGCGCGGCGATGGACCAGGGTGCCCTTTGCAGGACGATTTGGCTTAGCCCTCCTCGGGGTGAAGTGACTTGTCGATGAACCTGGGACTATGGGACTTACGGGTGTCTCCAGTGGTTTGGGTTTACCTGGGGTACCGCTTGGAGACGAGGATCCGGAACTTGGGACTTTCGTTGGAACGAGCATCGACGAGGATCGACGGTCCAGGTCCCTGGAGTATTCCGGGGAATCCGGGAGGTCGTCGATATCCTTCGCGGCTCTGGAGACAAGAGCCTTCGAGGATGGGAATACTGTGCAGTCCTGGCCGGTGCTGCCGCGGCTCGACGAGTTCCCGAACGAGAAGTGCAAGCATTAGGTCCTGGGGGAAAGAATAGAACCTACCAGGAGTGACTCTGGACGACCGGGAGGATACAGAAGAACTGACGAGGCCAACAGGATGAGTCACTTCGACTGGAAGCTGCTGCGCCGGAAGAAGGTACCCCACCACAATGACCTTCCTCCATCCTGAGTCTATGCTCTCGCCCAAATCAGTTTAACCTCCTGGGGGTTGTTTACCGCTCCCCCAAGGAAAACCCTGGAGGGAAAATCCAAACAAGAACTCATCCCAATATCCTGGGAGGACATTAAACCTAAGGGTCTTTAGCAGAATCGCCGTACATAAGACACATCCTCGATGCATCTCTACATATTATATATTATTTACGTACATGTAATATACACATAGTGTCCCATAGAAATAGTCTATCAATTGAAGGAACAAATTGGATGCAACGTTTCTCATGCCCCTTCGCCGTGCAATTAGTCCTGATTAACGTCACGTATCTCCTGGGTGTCCCGATCTTTGCTCGATTTTCTGGAATCCGGTCAAGTGGGACATGCTCGTGGATAGGCATGCACCAGGTCGAGTCCCACGTTAAGATAGAGCCTGGCATTAATCATAGATGAAAGCGGTGCGGCCAATCCTAACTGACCTCACGTAAGCGATCCTCATTTATGTATCCACACCCAGTGGACTGGCGAGATTTGCGATGTTTCCCCGGGAACACACCTGGTGGACCAGATCCGACGGTTTTATATCCGCAGTATTGCGTGCCGGGAACGTCCTGAGAAAGGCTTTCGACAGGGTCAGAGGTCGCCCGGCTTTTCCCTGGGGAAGGCTGGGAAGGCGCCGCTTGCTCCGCTAGTCTAGGAAACACAGCCGACGGTGCGGACTGTTAATATGGTTCATAAAGTTGATAATTTTAGTACACAAGGTTTAATTAACTCATAAAAAAATACAGGGTAAAATTATAAATCTCATGCCTTGATAGGGAATTAATATACATTTATGATAAAGCCCTGAATAAATTTGTAATTTCATAAACGTCACGTTCGTCGCGTCAAATTCACTGTTAAGACCTGAAATTTATAATTTCCCTGCAACCTTATGTACTAAAAGTGTATGAAATTTATTATTTCACCGCAACCTTATGTACTAAACGTGTGGGAATTTTTTAAAACAGTACATAGAATGACCCTTTCGTATCACCTTAAGAGCCTCGTCGCCCTCGTTACCCTAGTTGCAGGTAAACGGTCCGTTTAAACTCCTGGATGAGGGGAAGGTGGAGTCGCCGTACCCCGTGAATCGATCCCCGGCTATTATTAACCACCCGGAGCTGGCCGAGCTAGGCACGTATCCGCAGAGAAGGCGAAGGGTGGTCGAAGGCGCAAAGTTGAAATCGTGTCGGTCGAACTGGGCCACTCGGATGTGCGTTTACACATTATTCCATGTCTATACATCATTATATCTACATGATCGTCTGTATGTACGAACATGGGACATGTATAAACATGTCCCTTTCCCTTTTTTATCCACGCCCAAGGGTGTTCACCCAGGGTAAAAGTGAAACCGATAAGAGAGCGCACCGGGCGCATCGTTATTTGCCCTCGTAAAAGCGCGCCGTGTGTGGGCGAGGCCGTAAAAAAAGAAAAGTGTTGACAGTACCATTAGGGGAGCCGTCATACGAAACGTGGGTACGGACTTGGCATGTTTACGGAGGCTCGTAAAAAAAAATGTATAACCCGACGAGGTGACCCCAGGTCGTCGGGGGCAATCTCCAGGAGAGGAAGGCCCTTAACTTTCCTTCGGGCCACTGGCTAACTTTTATGCTTTTTGCGCCAAGTTGCGTCCCGGGCAAAGATAGGTTAGGTTTATAATACGTCACGCGGTACACGTGCTCCTCCACGTGTGCGATGCAACGTGTAATGTATGTCCCTGGTTTTCTAAGCGAGGTGTGTTACCCTATTCTATTACTAAAGACGTTGTAATTAGTCCAGGCAGAGATTTTGTATTGAATATGGGTGAAAAGTATCCAAGAGATCCGCGGGGCCTCTTGGATTCTTTTTTAACGCATTTTGCAACTTCTTACCACTGGGATTGGCTTCTGGGGCGAGGTTGGGAAGATGTGCCGGGGAAGAAAGAGACGCACCTAGGAAGAGGACCCCTCCTACGGTTTATTATGCCGTCGGTGGTATCGGGCGAATAGCTCGCGAATAGCTCGCGAATAGCTCGAGTCTATGGCGAGCCCCACCACACCCTCGGCCGTGATTTATGCGCGACGCATACGAGAGAGATCCGATTCTAATAATCCCGGTGTGTTGCACGTAAGCGGCAGAGTCGGGGGGCAACATAAATTACCCGAGGACTAATTAACATCGCCCGGTGGCTCCGACTAGGCCGATGCGTACCTGGACGTACACTGGGAGACATCAATGCCCTACCATCCTGCACAGGCGATGCCGTATCTGCAGGGGAGGCCTTTATGTTTGTAGTGTAAACTGGGAGACATCAATGCCCTACCATCCTGCACAGGGGGGGCATTTATGTTTGTAGTGTAAACTGGGAGACATCAATGCCTTTCCATCCTGCACAGGCGATGCCGTTTCTGCAGGGGAGGCGTTTATGTTTGTAGTGTGCACTGGGAGACATCAATGCCTTTCCATCCTGCACAGGCGATGCCGTATCCGCAGGGAAGGCATTTATGTCTGCAGTGTGCACTGGGAGACATCAATGCCCTACCATCCTGCACAGGGGAGGCATTTATGTTTGTAGTGTGCACTGGGAGACATCAATGCCCTACCATCCTGCACAGGCGATGCCGTATCTGCATCCCTGATCAAAGTGTTAAATCTCTGTTCCAGGTGATACCGGCGGATCGGCGGGTCCCCGATAAGGAGGAGACCTGGACCCTGGCCTCGGAAGTGCGGGAGGGCTGCGAGGACGAAGACAAGGACAAGGACAGGGACCCCGAGGTCCCGAGACCCCCGAAAGAAGGGGAGAGGAGCTCGAGCCAGTCCCGCGTGGATGGTAACCAGGACTCCGTCGAGCCAAACCTCCCCAGGAGTCACGAGACCCGGAAGAGCAAGACCAAACGCGTGAAGAACTACCTGAAGAAGTGCAAGGGCGCCCTGACGAGGGCCGACGACAGCTTGGAGAGGAAACAGAGGGACGAGGGCAGCTCCTGGTATCTGGAGGACCAGAAGGACTCGCGGCACCTCCGGGACCTCGAGGTCGAGGACCAGGTCCCTGTCGACGTCCTGGATAGGCGAGAGGACCAGAAGGGGAGCAGGACTTCCCTCTACGAGGACGCCAGCGATCTCTCCCCGGATGCTGGGACCAAGTTCCAAGAAGATGAACCTCCAGGACTCAGTCCTGCTACCGACAGGAAGGAGTCCTTGGAGACCCTCACCACCGAGGACTCCAATCTCAACAAGTTCGACTCCAGTGATACCCTCATCGCGGATGTCCCCGAAGTCCCGGCTCCCATTTCCGGGGAAGTTAAAAGCCCGGATAGGCTGCGCCTCCAGGTCGCCGAAGTCCTCGAGGATGTGGAAGACCTCCAGGGTCCCGAGGGAAACGAGGATGGTGAAAAGACCCAGGGTGTGCGGGGACCTGCGATCCCACCTACGCCGGCCGTCGTTGGGGTGAGTCCTCTTTTCTTTATTGCCGATGAAATCCTGATTTCATGACGTTAAGGCGGCATGAACAGGTCATGCCATACATATGAAACGTAATCCCTACCGTTGATAACGATTATCGTTACGGTGACGACGATAATGGGCGCCTTTATCATCGCGTTACGTTATGGAATCCGCGTTATTGCCCACCGTGAGGTAATGCCTTGAGAGAGAAAAGTGAAAAGCCGTAGAATAGTTCTACTTTGCATGTATTACGCGATCGGGCCGCGTAACGTCACTTAACAGCGAGTACTTTGAATATTTCCAAGCTAAAGAAAGGAGGAAGTGCTATTTCGGCAGTAACGTTCGCTATCCATCTCCAAAAATGGCGAGCCTCCCTCCACCTCGCGAGAGGTGCAGACCTAACCTAACCTAACCTAACCTTCCGGCTCGGCGGCCACCCCGCGACTGATTTATCGCCCTCGCACAAAGCAGGCTCGATTCGCCTGGGGGCTGCAATCGGCGTCCTCCTCGAGGAGGAACCGTTTGTTTGGCTTAGACGCGCGAAAGTGAGACGCGACCGGGGAGCGCGGACAAATCGGTTCCCTCTGTCGGCGCCAGGGGGCAAAAACTCCCTAGGAGCTCTGGCGTGGATTCCCTAGCGGACAACCCGCCGAAAGGGTGATCGATAGCGCCGGGGTCTCGCCGCTCTCTCGGACGGCTAGGGATTTATTATTAATTAGCCCTAGGGAGTTTGGCGCGCCAGGTATCGTTGCCACTTGGGTATTCAAAATGGCGTTACCGCCAAAAAGGGTACCGATGAATTTCAATTTGTAGACCTGGATTAAACTCATCAGCGCCTTTCGTATCCTCTTAATCCCGATTTCTGGAAATGAGGATCGATGGTCCTATCCTTAGGGAGCCAGGCGTCTCTCTTGAGGACCCTCGGTGCGTGGGCGTTGCGTATCGCGTGTCCTAGTGGGCACCGAGACGCGTAAATCTGTCGGATCGCCACGTGTAAACGCTAACCGATGATCAGTCGTGAAAGTGTGGCTCCGTAAACCGATCGCCTTTTTTCCTACCCGGACGGATTATAGATTAAGCCGCGCCTCCGCGAGCGCGGAAAATGATAAACGTGGAGCCGGGGATTTATCGTAATTGTCGGTAATGACGGTACAGGCCTGCCGGTTCGTAAGTCAGAACCACCGGGTGTCAACACTTCGCCGGGGTTCTAGCTACTTCCGGCTCTACGGGGATTTATCCCCAGGTGCACTCCACCTTGACAAAATTCCATTTTTTACTGGCTTAACAGTTTCTGCACTTTGTATACCGATTATGTCCGACTGTATGTACAAAATGACCTTAATTAGACGGGCGTTTTTCCCGAGGAGGCTCCCCAGGTCACACCCACGTTCGCTGCGGTTGCCGACATTTCGCCGTTGGTGCCGTTCGAGCGAAACGTCGGCACGGCTGTCCCTTGGGAACAGGGTGGAGGTATTTTTCAATTCCTCCAGGACTGCGAACGGTATTCCCGATTTAGTGCCCAAGGGGACGGGCAGGACCTCTCGGTCGAGATCGCCACGGCGTGGCCGTTTAACCCGGAAACCGTCCGGGACGCGTACGTTGACACCTTATTATCAGGGCCCCGGGTGCCCCGGGGCCCAGGCGCCGAGAGAGCCGACTCCTTTCCTCCTGCACACCCCGAAGAAAGGTAGACGTCGACCTGTGACCTCCCTTTCTACGGCCGCCAGTTGGACGAGGAGGATCCTCCGCTGTCGTTGGGCTCCGGCCAGAAGGCGACAAGGGTACGCAACAGATGACCGGACCCGTTCGGATCAGACCGAATTGTTCTACTTCTTATAGTCCTGGATGCAAAAAGTGATGGTTTGGTTGGACCCAGCCTGGTCTGAAAGGGTCTGATCTATTGTTGTGGCCCTATCCGTAGTTGTAGTCGACAAGGGTAAAGCTATACAGTCCTGGCAACAAAAAGTGATGGTTCAGTCGGACCCAGTCTGGTCTGAAAGGGTCTGATCTATTGCTGTGGCCGTATCCGTAGTCGTAGTCGGCAAGGGTATAACTAAACAGTCCTGGCAACAAAAAGTGATGGTCCAGTCGGACCTAGTCTGGTCTGAAAGGGTCTGATCTTTTGTTGTAGCCGTATCCGTAGTCGACAAGGGTATAACTAAACAGTCCTGGCAACAAAAAGTGATGGTCCAGTCGGACCCAGTCTGGTCTGAATGGGTCTGATCTACGGTTGTGCGTCCGTGGTCGCATCCGACAAGGGTACGACTATGCGCCCGTGAGAAAGGAATCCGAGGAGCCGTCGTAAAACGATCGTTTGCCTAGGTACTGTTACAGGCGTTGAAGTCACCTCTAATTGCCGCGAGCTCATCCCGGGTCTGATTAGTCGTCGAGGGTCGCGATGATGCCCTATTCCATAAACATATACGCGACAAGTATCGCCGATGGTAATCGGTCTCCGTTATTCGGAGAACGCCGGTCGTCAAACCATTAAGGCGGGATGAAAGGATCATTTCGTCTGTACCGAACCGCGGAGATGATTTATGGAAACTCCCCACTTCATTTTCTGAGCCTCGAGGAAGACGCAATTAAACGCAAAAATATTTATTAACCTTTCCGTCGAACTGGATGTACCGGATCATTAATGAAAAATCAGCGCAGATCCAGGTCCCATGGTGTTTCGATTCTTATGGGGATAGGCTTGGTCACGCTACTCCTAGCACCACCTAACTATGATTAATACCACTCGATGACCTCTCGGCTCGATCGTCGGGGTCAGCGGCGATCGATGTCATACCGCGCATACAAAAGTGTCCATCCCGAGCCAACCGAGGCGTACCTAACGCTCTTTCCTCGCCGCGACGCTTCATCCATCATCCACAGGGTCCAGGAACCTCGGCCGTTCCCAAGCGAGAACCAGGGTTGATAAAAATCATGAGTTCCGTGGGGGGAAAAAAAAATTAATCGCGGGTACTTTTCTTAAGTCGCGATTTTTTAAATATCTTAAGGTGATATGAAAGGGTGATATACTTCATGCACCTTATCCGCGATAAATTTCACGAGCAGCGTGTTCTTCCTTAGAGCTTCCATGTGAAAATGTGAAAATGTGAAAATGTGAAAATGTGAAAATGTGAAAATGTGAAAATGTGAAAAGTGAAAATGTGAAAATGTGAAAATGTGAAAATGTGAAAATGTGAAAATGTGAAAATGTGAAAATGTGAAAATGTGAAAATGTGAAAAATGTGAAAAATGTGAAAAATGTGAAAATGTATAATCTATAATCACGTGTTATTCAGGCAATTATTTCAGTTATTCGGTCTTTTTAGTTATGCAAATATCACACTTTCATATCGCCTTAACAGGTCCTTCCTTCCTGGTCCGAAAAGGAGTCCGGCCGGGGTAGTTTCGGGAATTATGATCCCTGGGCCCTATCAGTCTTCCCTCGGGCGCCTGATAAGGAGATCCCTGGACCCGCGGATCCTGGGGCAATTAATCCTCGCCGGAGTGCGCGCCGAGTGAAACCAAAAGCGTCGCGTGAGGTCTAGCATGTCGGATGAATAATGATAGTTTAATACCGTCGTGTAGGCCGACTCGCGGTGGGGATTACGCATGAGGCAACCCCGCAATATATTTAAGTAATAATAACCGAGAGGGCAACCGTCCGTGTCCGAGTAGGCACCGCCGACGGAGAGGAGTTACGACATGCCGAGCGGTTTCCTAAAACGATCGTGAAACGGGAAATTGCGCCTAGAGTCGTTCCCCTGCCGATTCTGTATGCCATTTGTCGCTGATTAAGGTGATATGAAAGTGTGATACATATACCAAAAAGTCAAAATGTTTATAATACTTTTCTCCAAACTGGGTGCACCGAATTATCTGAAAAATTTTAACACGTGATTATGGATTATACATATTCACATTTTCGCATTTTCACATTTTCGCATTTTCACATTTTCGCATATTCGCATATTCACATATTCGCATATTCGCATATTCGCATATTCACATATTCACATTTTCGCATATTAGCATATTCGCATATTCACATATTCACATATTCGGAAGACAAATTTTTCCTACAGAAATCCTCGAGTATCGGCACCGGTTCGATCAGTTCCTGTCCCGGGGGGATCCTGGATCCAGGATCCAGGAGATCCCGAGTCCCTCCACGGCGAATTAGGCCCCTTCGTCATGGCCACTCCCACGAGGAGCGAGCCTCTCTTCCGGGGCTGGCCAAGATCCTAGGATGATCCTCGAAGGTCCTTCCGCGTTGCTTAGGGTCCCTAGACTCGAATCGAAATTCGAAAAATTGGAATTGCATACCGGAAGAGCCGACAAAAGTCGGGCTCCCAGGTTACTAGGATCACGGCGTCCGCGCCGACGTGGACGGAGAAAGTGCTGGACTCGGAGACGCCGACGACGACGTCGTCCGTGATACTCGTGACGCGGCGAACCGCGATCTCCGGTACGTCGCGATGTTACTCTCTGTATTTTTCTTTTTTTTTTTTCTTATCAACGGGGGTCACGTTTCCGGTAATTAATGACCCACGTCATCGACATTCCTCGTCGGTTCGACCTGGGCTATGGTTCATCGCTCTACGTGTTTCGTGATTTGCGATTCGAATCGCGGAAGGTGCCCACTTTTCACATTTTCACATTTTCACGTTTTCACGCTTTCATATTTTCGCATTTTCACGCTTTCATATTTTCACATTTTCACATTTTCGTATTTTCACGCTTTCATATTTTCACATTTTCGCATTTCCACGCTTTCATATTTTCACATTTTCGCATTTTCACGCTTTCATATTTTCACCAAAACCGAATTCCAAGATCGACCCCCTGGTTATATTCTCGTCCTCTACGTTACCTGGGTAACGCACTAAAATACTCTACCCCTGGTCGCCCGGCGAGGCGGAAATTGCCCGTACCGGAATAGCGGGTGGAAGAATGACTTTCTCGTGGCTCTTTCACCTGAAAACGGTACGAGCGGTGCCTCCTCTGTATATTTTCAACATACCCGCGATTAGTTTCCGACAGGTCTGGCGATCGCGCACGCCGCCCCGGGGAATGCACGTTCGAGACGGGTTTTCTCGTCGAGGTTTCCTCGCCTGTGAATTTAGCGGATAATTTCGGAAAATACGAGAAAGCGGCTGCCCCCCTTTTCCCGGACGTATCGCGCCGATAAATCGGGGAAAAGGTTCCGTTCGTTAACCCTTTTGCTACTATGAGCGCCGACGTTTGGTCCAATATCGCCTGCACGGTCAGGGGAATTTCGCCCATACGTCGAGATGGCTCCGTGTTCGAAGGGCTATCAGGGAGGGAACTCTATCAAGCGCTTGATGTGTGGAGGATGAAGACGGTACCGTAAATGCGGAGCCGTTATCTCTAGCTAGTTCTAGGTTAGGATGCGTTAACGTCTTCCTCGGTGCTGATGGAACCTGTCGGGGTCCGTACTCCACACACCTCCATCAGCATTTTGTGAGGATATTTCGGCCACTCTTCGACATCTTCCCCACGGGGTGAAGACCTCTCGCGGTGCTAGGATAATCCACCTGGGGCGAAAACGGAAGTGACTTCTGGGTGCCCTGGACGGCCCCCTAGGTGTTGGGTTTCCGATTTCCGATTTCCGCACCGGCGATGCGGAGATTAGAACGGATTCTTTTTTGCTGATGGACCTGTCGGGGTTCATGACCCACACACGTCCATCAGCATTTTGTGAGGATATTTCGGCCACTCTTCGACATCTTCCCCACGGGGTGAAGACCTCTCGCGGTGCTAGGATAATCCACCTGGAGCGAAAACGGAAGTGACTCCTGGGTGCCCTGGACAGTCCCCTAGGTGTTGGGTTTCCGATTTCCGATTTCCGCGCCGGCGATGCGGAGATTAGAACGGATTCTTTTTTTTTGACCGGGGACTCCACCCGCTGAAGGATTACGGGTCTTCGATTCGCCCTGGGTTCCTGGCATGGCCAAGCCTTATCTGCTGGTTATCCAAGAAAGCCGCTAAGGTAATTATATTCCGCTCGGGTTTCACCGCGAGGAAAGAGCGATCGAGGATGGTCGAAGGTGGAAGGCAAAAAACGAGCTGGAAGAGTGTAAACACTCCCTATTTGCGCAAACTACGATTAGGAACCCGGGTACCGGTTGTTTCAGGGTGCGAGTCGACGACCGATGGTGTTGGGCAAGATTCTTTAATAATTACCCACCACCGAGGGTGGTTCATCAACACACTCGTCTCGGATGTGGCTCGAGTGACTTTTAATCCTGTGTCGGGGATCGGCACTCGCTTGAGGCTCCCTTGCGAATGCGGCGTAATGCGTCTTCCGGTACGCGATAGTCCACATAGGTGTCCGCCTTAAGCCCGCGGAGCCAGTTCGCGCAGATTTACGAGCTTTCCCTGTAATTCGAGTCCTCTTTCCTCGGGTCCTGGGCTCCTATTCTCGAGTTCATACGGATTTTTTTTTATATACGAAAGGATTCGCGTGAAAAATTTCGCATGAAAAATATCACATGACAAATTTCACATGAGAAGTTTCGCATGAAAAATTTCACATGAGATGTTTCGCATGAAAAATTTCGCATGAAAAATATCGCATGACAAATTTCGCATGAAAAATTTCACATGAGAAGTTTCGCATGAAAAATTTCGCATGAAAAATTTCACGTGAGAAATATCGCATGAAAAATTTCACGTGAGAAATATCGCATGAAAAGTTTCGCGTGAAAAATTTCGCGTGAGAAATATCGCATGAAAAATTTCACATACGAGTAGAGTAAACCCAAGTTTCGGCATCCTAGAATCAGGGGTGGCGTCGAAACGGGTATTGCGTTTAGGAAGAGGGATGATCCAAGATGGCGGTCGAAGAGCGTCGCGACGCTCTCGGTGTGGCTCTCGGGTCCCACGATGTGGGCTCATTGTGTCGGCCTATAAAGATCTTGGTTTAGAGCGCGACAACCTGTAACCATTATACTCGGCGGTTAGGTGTCGGCCGCCCACGTGTTTCCGCCCCCATGGCGGATATACGGTGTAGGGTTCGCGATAAAGAGGAGCGAGAAGGAGAATTCCCACCTGGGGGGATTCGCGATTCTTGATTCCCAGGGCCGGGCACGTGTGGGAATTCCAGGGGACACCCCAGGACCCCGTTTCCTCCCACCGAGAGTCCGAGATCGTGTTCGCGTCGCTTCTTTACGGACCGGCGCGGCCATCTTGGACGCCCGGGGGTGACTCCCAAAGCGCGTAAAATCCTACGGCCACCCCATTGTCTTCTCCCCTATTGTGGTGGGCTATTTGTCCAGCAATGGTCCATTGGCTGATTGAAATAAATAAAGGCTGAGCAAACGCCAGTTGCGGACGTTAAGCCGCGACTTCGTCCGCGTCACCGGTCTTCCTTTAAACGCTTTTCTTTGCGGTGTCCCGGGTTTTTATTTATCACCGGCGGATCACAAAGCTTGAAAGTGACCCCAAGTTGGCAATATTTGGACAGGGGTGATTTATCGCAGCCGTTTAGGCTCGTCGGATGAAGGGTCCTCGTTAGGGATGCTCCCATGGGGCGAGGGACCAGAAATTAACTCTCCACCGCGGTCGCCATTTTGTTCCCGACGCCACGGACTGACTCCTAGTCATTGGAGTTTCTTTCCGTGGAATAGTGATCCTTTGAACGAAGGGAACATTTTCTTACTTCAAGAAACTTTATTAAATCCTGCTGAAGTGGCAATGCCAGCTTTATGGACATCCCGCCAGGCCAATGGCCGGGAATAAGGAGAGCGTCGGAGCCATCAAACGGATCGGGTCTCTGCACCTGCTCGATAAAATGTTAATAACGACCCTGCTGGCCCGTTGCAATCCCGTAATGACAAATCGAAGCCCCCCTTGCGACATACGGTACAAATGACGTCGCCATTAGCCATGCAAAGTGGATTCATTGGATCGCTGACCTCGTCTCCGGATGCGTTTCCCTTGCAGGCAAGATGGCCGCCACAATGTGTGTAAGCCCACTTGGGCATATTATGCTCAAAGGAGGTCCAACCTCGAGTCGAGTCCCATTCCGCGCTCTTTTATGCCTCCTTTATTCATCCGGCGTTATTGCCGCCGATCTCCTCTTCGATATAACAATTTTTTTTCTTTCTTTATAATTGCAGGGAAGAGGCGACGTGGCCACCCTGGTGCGCAATCTGCTGGGACCCCTCTACGGGGAGGGAGTCCTCCACCTGCTGACCAGGCAGGCTCGCGACATCCTGGTCTGCGCCTACCACGGCAACCTGGACAACTTCCTCAGGTCCTACCTCTCTCCTGCCGCCACCCTCCTCGCGGAAGTCAAACTCACCGCCACCGGAAATGTAAGTCACATCGGATTTTTTTTTCGGGGTTAATTTACGTATACTCCACTTCATTACGTCGTCACGGAAACTCCACGGCGAAACGCTGGACACCAGGTAATGGTACGGGACGGTAAGGTACTCAAAGGGGAGGTAAAGGGAAACAGGAAATCAGGAAACCCTAGGATGTTAAGAAAACCCTAAATCAAACGTCGGACATGACGTATGGCCGATGGCTGATGGGCGATATACATTTGCTATACCTAGAGACCTAAAATAAACGATATACCCAAACTTTTACCGTGGTCTTACCCCATGATAATTCAGCGGTTCTTTTGCGATATTTAAGTTTAGCTCCCGGTCGCTGGGAATATTCATCCAGGGATCCAAAAGACTAGTTGTCGGGCGCGTTATAAATTGTACATCTCGGTGACAATGGCGTCTGATTACAAAGCCTCCAAGTCCCTCGGGAACGCCGGGACGCCGGGTTAACCAGATCCTATTCCGAACCCCTGGACACATAAATCCCTTTTCCATGGGTTCCATCAGCCGGATTCAAAGCGAAATTAAATAACGCACATCTAAGGTACACCAGCATGATCCAGTGTACTCGTTGCGCGTCCACAAAGCAATGCTCCTCACTTAGGGCGTGATCGCAGCCAATTTAGCCATGAGCGGTGGGTGGCCCAGAATTAATCCGATCTCGGCCGATAAAAAAAAAATTGCAGGCTATTAAAAGGAAAACGTCTGGGATAAGTAAAATTTCGCTTTCATAAAATATGTAATTTTTCGAGCATCGCGATTTTCCTTAGGGTCTCTGTAAGCACGTGCTGATGGTCCCATCGATCCGGTGCGGTAGACGCTTCTATCCAACACCCTTAAAAAGAAGTGTCTTATCCTAGTCCATTCATTTTAGGGGGTTTCACTTCACCTTAAGGTGATATGAAAGTATGTCTAAAAAAATCCAAACTTCGAGAGTGTCGGGACAATTCCTAGATGCTCACGAGTCATCAAAGTTGCAGGCGGTTCTACCCAACACCTTAAAAAAGTGTCTTATTCGAGTAGGTTGATTTGAGGGGGTTTCGCTTCGCCTTAAGGGAGCAAGAAGACGGGGATAAACGATCGGCTCGCCTCGTGGAGGTTTTCCGCCATGTTGGAGCGGCATCGACGGAAACTTCCCACGGGCGACCTCGGCTTCTCGATCGGCGCCGATCGCCACTTATCGCCAAGATCCGGTAATAAGGTCGAGGCGCGGTCGATCGAGCGATGTCGCGGCGGAAATCGTGTCGTCGCTTTTTCCCACGAGAGTGCGCCATCGCGACACGGTCGCTACTCTTCCCCGTTCCTGAACCCTGCACGTGCATTGCCTGCAGTCGATGGCCGAATTATTAAGGTGGTGTCAAAGGGTCATTCCATATATGTATAGGAAAACGGTAATATATTTATGAACCTTTTCCAAAACGAGCTGATATTCCCACACGCGATTCCGCAGGCCCTGGGGAAGAACGTGTGGTGCTCATGAAATTTCATTGAAAAGAGGTACCTTCCTTATAGCCTCCATGTTCATATTAGCAAGTTTGAAGCGATTCGGTACACCCAGTTCGATGAAAAGCTTCATAAACCTCTTCGACGCCACTTTCGTACCGCCTTAAGGACGCATCCAGGAACTAGAGAGTTTGCGTGTCGACGAAACCGACGCAGATTGCTAAAAAATTGAAATTTCATGATAATGAGGACTTTCCTAATAGCTTTCATGATCATATTATCAAGTTTGAAGCGATTCGGTACACCCAGTTCGATGCAAAGCTTCATAAACCTCTTTGACGTCGCTTTCGTACCGCCTTAAGGACTTATCCAGGAATCCCCAGAAACTAGTGGGCCGACCTCGAACCTCCTCAGTTCTTGCCGTAGGTTGTAAGGTAACGATCGTCGATAAAGGTTGGCTCGCAGACAGGCAGCGAACCTGGCGGGGAAAAACGGAGTGGCAGCTAAAGCGAGGCGAGCAAAGGGACGGGCATAGTGCCTTCTCTCTATAAGGCTAGGGACGAGCCGCTAGTTGTAAACCGGTGGCGTGCCTCTGGACTGACTCCGTGTATTCAAACGACCCATTATTTCCACGAGAAATTATTGCTATTACGTTACGTGCGCACGCGCGTGTAATCTTGTTATCGTTATTGGTCAATGGCGCTGCCCTGCCTTGAAAAACACAAGCCTTGGAAAGAATTCCAAAGGCGACTAATTGGAAATTAAGGTGGTCTCTATCGTTAGCCAGAGAAAAAAGAAAGTCCTACCTACACCGGGTTGCGACTGGCGATGAAAAGTGGATATTTCTAGAGAATCCTAAACGCAAGAAACCCTGGGTTGGTCCTGGCCAACCATCTAAATCGTCCACAAGACCAAATCCCTTCGGACGGAAGACGATGCCGTGCGTTTGGTGGGATCAGCAGGGTATCGTCTACTATGAGCTGTTGAAACCTGGTGAAACTGTCAATGCCCACCGGTTATTCAAAAGGCTGGATTATCAGCAAACGCAAGAAACCCTGGGTTGGTCCTGGCCAACCATCTAAGTCGTCCACAAGACCAAATCCCTTCGGATGGAAGACGATGCCGTGCCGTCATCGCCGTCGTTCTCAGGCACCGGCATCGAATCCGATGCTCCCAGGGATAGGACGAGGAAACGGGACCAGCTAGGTTATGTCGGAATGTCCGCAAAGAGGACACAGGAGGGCAGGATGTTGCACGAGGAGTCGGAAGACACCCATAACGGTGCCGCGTCCGAATTGATTGACAATGATTGAACCTTGCATTCGACTCGGCGCCGCGTCCAGGGCTATCCTCCGGATAGATCCCCTATCAGCTTCTCGCTCCCTCTCCGTCCGGCCCTTTCTCCTCGGGGTCCGTGTTCCTGCCACCGAGGTTTCCGCGAGGCCACTTTGTAGAGGCGCCATCCTAGCCGGGAAGATCGATCGATTAGACCTGGAGGAACCCGGGTACCTGGACTTTTCTGGGTAGGACTTCTAGACTTCCCCTGATCGGGGAAGGAAGATACTCTGGGGAATCCTCGTGCGCGACCCCATTAGATTAGGACCTCCGCCGCCATTTTGGTGAACGGGACGCCCTCGAGGACGCTTCCCTACATTGTTAGGGTACTTCTTGCAAGACGGCTCTCCGGTGAATTCCTCTACGGAGGCTTCCAACGAGACATTTTCCCTAGCCGTATTGCCCTGGTTAGATTCGGATAGAGCAATAAAGTTTATTGAATCCCTCGGCCTAACTTTCTACCCCGTGAAAATATCTTCTGCATCTAAACTGCACCGGTGCACTAGGTGCAGCGCGCCCGCGTTATGGCCTGGGATAAAACGCGTTATACAACGCGGATCGCTCGCAATTACCTCGGAAAATAAATTCTATACACTCCGGGTGTAACGATAAATCTTCGGCGGACGCGTTTTATCTCGGCTATCGCGATGCCGAGCTGGGAAAAAAATCCCCATAATGCAGGAACGCACCATGGGGGACTAGAGGACGTGATGGGGTTTCGATCGGAAGCTAGGAACCCCAACGGGAGGCGCAGTTCCTGACTTCCTAGTTCCATCCTTCTTAGGTACTTCCCCAATGAGCCAAAAGTGTTGGGGCACACTTTAAGGCGAAGTGAAACCCCCTTCACATCAGTCGATTCGAACACCACACAATTTTTTAAGGGTGTTGGACCACACTGTGAGGAACATTGATGAGGACTCTTGGTCATCAAAGAAGGTGTTTAGAAAAATCTTCTTCATCGACGTCGATCAAGTTCCTCGACGTGTTTCACTTCACCTGGAGAAATATAACTAAACCGCTGACAATGATCCTATAAAGGGTGTTGCGAAAAGTGCGAAAAAGCTCATCGCTATTCGGATGACAAGACGGATGACAGGCTCTATCCGCAAAGAGCTCGCGGCTGCAGGCGTGGAAATGGAAATGGAAATGGATCTCATAGTCGTTACACTTTCTCCGGCTCGGTCGTTGGTTACACGCCCACATCGGGGCCATCATCTCCGGCAATTACTGCACTCGGTGCGGGAGAGGTTAGGTCGACAACTATTTCCAATCAGTTAAGGTGGAGTGAAACACGTCGAGGAACTTGATCGACGTCGGTAAAGAAGACTTTCCTAAATGCCTACGTCACCACGTTGGTTTTTATAGCAAAAACTGGGTCGAATTGGGTATTGTACCAAATGGCACACTCCACCAGTCGTTTTCCTACAATAATTACAAAGAAATCCAAGTAGAACTCCAGAAATTCTCTGGATTCATGCTTTCTGAGGCCCTAATCGACTGCACGTCAGCGCAGGGGTTTAAAGCGCGATTCCGCAGCGGAATTGGGTTTTTTCCGCAAGGAGCTCGACCCCCGCACGTCTTAAAGATGATGGATGCCTTCCGAACGATTGGGATCGTTATAATAATGGGTGGCCAGCTGAAATGGATCGCGATTACCCTCGTCAAATTGATTTCCCGGGTACGGACGGTGGGAATTACGGGAGTAGTCATCATTCCAAGTCCTTACGAGCCACCTCCTAGGGGGATTAAATTGTCAGGAGAGGCTACTTTGTCAATTTCTGCAGTGAAATGCGGTCGATTAGCCTCGTCGAATTGTCAGTCGTGAGACTTACCCGAATAGCGGGTTCCAAGGGACTCCACAACGTTAAAACCCTTTGGGTACTAAGAGCGCCTGAAGGCGTTTTCATCCTTTAAAAGATTTTCACAGGCGATTTTTCATCTTTTAAAAACAAGCCAGGATTTTTATCAGCCCTGACCCAGGTCCCAGTAGTTTCCCCGGAAATAGTTTTCTGGTCGACCGACCGAATAGATGGTTCCACCAATAATGCTCATTTTTTTTGTGGGGACCTACGAGGATCGCCACAAATTGCGGATGCGAGCAGATGGCTTCTAGCCCGGTTCCGAATCTACATAGAGACACCGCCTTGTTCCGCTGACTTCTAATTAAATCCTAACCCAACCTGGGAGCAGGAAACGCGCTT